ATACATCTCTAGCATACTTGAGCAGCATCCAATCTTACAGCGTGAGTTTATTTTCATGTGTGCAATTGTGCAGTGTAAGTTCTACTTTTGCGCAGCTCGCTTTATACCGGGTTTGTGCTGCTCTTTTAGGGGTCAACGCGTGTTATTATAAAGGGGTTCTTCTGTTTTGGCACTTGTCAGAGTGGAATGCCATTTTCCCTCGTCGCATTCATTTGTTACCAAAGCTAGAATTCTTTTTCTGGCGAAGTCAGTGTATCATGTACTTCGAATATGAACATAAAACGAAGTCGAAACTAAATACTATAACAACAACCAATACTAAATACTACAATACTCGTTGATCGTTTTCCCTAAACTATTAGATGCGAGTAGATGTTTGTATGAACTGTTAGGATAGAGTTAACCTTGCTGTGAGCTAGGGTTAAATTAATCCTGATGAATCACGTAAGTTTAGCCCTCCAGGGTCAGTTCAACCCTCACGGTTCGTTGATGAATACGGGTTAGTCGCTTTCGGGGTAAAATTGACCCTCAAGGTTAGATTTAACCCTCAGGGTTAAGCCTACCCTGTCTTTCATGAATACGGGTTAAACGCTTTCCAGGGTTAGTTCAACCTTCGGGGTTTGTTGATGAATACGGCCACAGAAATCTGCTATTTCCAGCAGCCCTTGTAATGCTTATAAAGTGTTTGATTGTAGCATAAATGTCGTTACACTTCAACTTTTTGCGACGATAAGAAGTACTTCATAGTTTTGATAAGACTTTAGGGCACCATTTGAAAGAGCAAGGCACGCTCCACAAGATGTTGTTCAAAAGTTCGCACCATCTTCGACCCATCATAAGTTTGCATCCAGTGTATCTGAGTCGCACTGAAGGCTCAAATAAAGAGAAAATTCATATCTTCTTTCAAAAGATTTTATGAATTTTCAACTTGCTCATACGTTAATGCACTCCACGCCAGACACTCATATGTACCATTCCTGTATTTTTTCCTCATCTAGAAAAAGAAGAAACGAAAATTTTCATGCTTATACAAAAATAAAGCAGTGCTGTTTCCACCCATAATTGTACACTACAATCCCTTGGAAATATAACTGTAAATTTTCAGCTTTTCACAAGCCCTAATCTTCGTGAAATATTGATTTCAGCACGGAACACCCGAATGAAGGGAGCTAAACTAGGTAAATTTCGAAAACTGAGGCCTATGAAAAGCTCGAAATTTACGGTTATAGTACAGGGTGTTTGAAAAGTTCGTGGCCTAAAGTACTTCCAATTCGAATTTTGACGCGTTTTTTGCTATATGTGTTCTCCAAACCTTGAAACCACTGAATCAACAAAGAAAAATATTTCTTGCCTCAAAATACCCTAAAAAATTTGGAAGTAAACAATTTTTTCAGCTTCCTTGAAGAGTGCGTCATCTGTTTTGTTCTTTTTTTCCAACGCTGGAAAAGGCAAACAGCTTTTGGTTTTTTTACTACAAATAGTCCTAGATTTACACTTTCTTCATATAACAAAAGTTCTACATTAGCATGCTAACAAATATTTTTTATGCGCTGAATCACAGCAGACAGGCGCGGCACCCTGTTTGCGCTGAAATTTTTTCAGTTTGAAAAAATTTAGAAGTCTTATTTTAACATGTATTTGTAGCACAACTCTCTGGCCTTCGTTGTTTTCGTTTTCGAGAAATTTGCACGCTTGCAAAGGTTTTTAAGATAAGATATAAAAATTTCGGTGCTGGACTTTTTGACAAAAAGATCCTGAAAGTGGATCTCTTGGATTTCGCGGTACGATATTTTTCAAACAAACTTACTTCTACGAAAGTGAGAGCACACTTAAGAAACCTTGAAGAAATGGCTTTAAGAAGGTATACTAAGTTTTCTGAAAATTATGTTTCCTTTTTTGTAACAAGCGTTTTGAAGGAAGGGGTTTGGAAAGCTATTCTGATGTGTTTCAATCTAATAAAAAATCAAAGAAACCACAAAAAAATTTAATTTTTACAGAAGTGATGGTATTTAGGTCCGATGAGCACAATAAAACAAAAAACGCATCAAAATTCGAATTAGAAGTACTTTAGGCCACGAACTTTTCAAACACCCTGTACTTTTGAGGGCTTGTAGTATACAATTATAAGTGGAAATAACATACCTTCAATTTGTTTAAGCATTGAAATTTTCGTTTTCTCGGTTTCTAGATGAGGGAAGAAATCTTACACGCTACATATGAGGGTCTGATGTGGTGTGCATTTTGTGTGAGCAAACTGGAGATTCGTAGGTTTCCTTGAACGATATGAATTTTGTCCTACTTTTTGAGGCTTCAGTACGACTCAGATTCTAGAGACAAACTTACGGTAAGTCGAAGCCGGTGAGAACTTTTGCATAACATCTTGTAGAGCTTCTTTTGCTCTTTCGTATGTATCCTGAAGCCCTATCAAGAATATGAAATATAAGACTTATTACCGTAAGAAATTTGAGTGTAACAAGACTTATGTTACAACCTACTACGATCTCACATAAAGTTATGGTGAAACCAGTTACACGCAAAACACATATTGTTCTTTCAGCAGCTTGTTTATGAAAGGAAATTTGTTTATTTCTTCTTACTTAGCGTTGTCACATTTTTCTTACGTAACACGATGCGTATAAAGACTGCATGCATTCAAATTTGTTATTTTACATCAACGAGGAGTAAAGCATAGAATACAATCCTTCTCATGAGTGTGAATCACGCTTGCAAAATGACGTATGTGTGCGTCTATTCATATTCTGTGACGCCATCCGATTAGAGGCTTGACGAATTCTAGTGCAAGCGGAGGACGGAAGTGTAACATCGTCATTCTAATTACTTTTTTCGGGATCGAGACAGATGTAGTCGCATTTGGCACATAGCTGTATTGCATTCGTCTTCATGTGATCTGAGAGGGCTATATTATGCTAACAAACAATTTTTCTTTTGTTCCTTTTCGCCCACGGAAAAGTAGTATACGCGTCAATGTGCAAAAAATAATAATTTTGCGTCAATCGCCGAAACATAATTTTCATAGGCCGTGGTCATCTCATTGTATCCTTTTTCATTTTCATAATCATAAAGATTTGGAGTGTAAGCTCCGCCATCCTCTAAGCGTCACTTTCAATTCATCGTCTTCCAAGAAGAAGTTGCCTATGTTATCTAGCCATGGTTAGAAGTTTTTGTTTTGTCTCCTAAGTTTAGCTTCCAAAGTATTAATCAAAAGTCGCCTTGGTAGCATTAATTAACACTGTACACAGACAGAAAATTTAATGTTCCAATACCTATCTTATATATAAAGCTGGATGTCTGTTTGTCTGTCTGTCTGTCTGTATGTATGTATGTATGTCTGGGGGGTAATCGAGCATGCTCGATTACACCCCTCTGCCAAATTCCAGCCCCCTAGCTCAAATTTTGCAAAAATTCGATAACATCGACATCGATCGATAACAAAAAGTGGACTGTGACACCCGCCGGGGCCCGAAGTGTATGTGGGCCAAGTTTGGTCCGGATCGGTTAAGAAATGGAATTTTCTATTCGGAACATACGGCGGAGCCGGGTAAGCCAGCTAGTTATTGATATTATTAAGTTGTCCATTAAGTCTTTTCATATCTGGCTTTTCACCGGCACCCAGCTCTTCTTATATTTCTAATAGGATGCGAGGTACCATCCGACAGATCAAAGCAAGCTCTACAAGATGGCATTCAGCAGTTTGACCGAGCTTCCGCATTGTGTTTTGAGCCAAAATTCAAAAAAATGCCGAATTTTCGATGTGTCCCAGTTCAAAACAAATCTGCGAATTTCCCACTAACTCACGCTATCATACTATCCCTATCAGATCTTATACATACACTTGTTGCGTTTCTCTGATGGCTAAAAATCAAGAAAAAAGTAATGCGCTGATTTTTCAAGCTTTGTCCATAGCGCTTCTGTGCTCCTCGCAAATATGCGATTATATAGCTCACTCGAGAAATACTGCCATAATTTTGCACCCTTGTAAGTGCCCTAGCTTGAATAACGTCATTTCAAAGGTTCAATTATGAAAAAACGCATGGGACAATCTAATATTGTTATCATTTTTACTATCACCAAATATTATTTATACTAATAAATCAAAATATTATAGCAGCAACGCTGTGGATGTTGTAAAGAAGTACGATTTTCTGTCTTCACGAGTTACAACTTTTAAGAGAATCAGCAAACAACATCTGTTTGGAAGAAGTTTCGTTCAAGGGAGATTGGTAGAGTTTACCTACTTTCACTAGCTGTTTAATCCACTTGTTACGTAAGCTCTTCAAGGACTCTAATTCATCATTCTTTATTTTAAGAGCTTTACAAGTTCTACAGATTCTAGTACTCTAGAAGGATGTCAGTTAATAAACAAATATGCAAAAACTCTTCTTGAATTTTATTTTGTTGCGAATAGTTGAACTGAACTTCACCTTCTTGATTGGCATATTTACATCCGAGAATTGACTGTGATTCAGTGGTTTTAGAAACTTTTGCACGCGAATTTGGTTCTACCAAGAAATTGATTGGTCAAAAACGAGAATCCTAAGTCACGCACTTGTTATTAGTGAAGACATGCTACAAAGGAATAAGTAGCTAATGAAAGAAAGTGATCTTGAGAAAGGATTGCATGATTTAAGGTTCGAGCTCTGCTCATTCTTTCCACTATTTTGGCTGCAAATCAACCTAAGAACACGGAAACAGAGGACGTGATAGTCGCTGCTACGTAGAAATTCGTTTTTCGAAGAAATTCTGAATTTTTGAGCATATCATCGTATAGATAGTAACAAATGTAGCCATGTACTACTCCGTCTGTCACAAGTACATATTTGGCAATAAGAGTTTATGTGAATGTGGTGAAATTGCTTGATTGTTGTGCTGATGCGTGGTCGATGAAAGCGCTGCATGTTAGAATATTCAGACCGAAATTTGCTTTCCACAACATGTCGGGAATTTTCATTCTGTTTTCGATTTCCATCTCGTCACTTCGGTGCTCCAACATGACAGAAATGGATGGCATGTTCTTTTACAACGTCAAGCAACCATGAATTATTGTGTATGTTTTCTGAGAGAATTTACTTTACTCTTTCTATTTCATCTGAGGAAGAGTTTTTGGACATTTGGGGTCCGCAGGCACTATGCGTTTATTCTTGCATTATTTTTTGACGGTTCAAAATGCTATGAGGACGCATTAGAGAAACAAAATCCGTTGCAGGGTAGAGTACTTTTACAACTGGAAGGACATTCCCTGTTAAGATATCAGATTTTTTCTTTATATGGTCTGTTTTCATCAAAGTGCTTGTTCTTCAAAAAAAAAACTGACGTGAGAAACTACGGTCTATGCACAAGAGAGCATGAAAATCAGTTTCCAAGCGACATAAATAATGTATTTTGGTTATAATCATTTTGGTTAAAATTCAACGTTCAAACAAAATAAATAAACATGATTGTACTGAAATTGCGTTCTCGATTTTCCACGCCTCCTTACTTCTTCCTATTATTGTCATAAGACCCTCTAACGTCTCATTGACATATGCCATCAGCATCATGCGGGAGCAATATGATTCATTGAAAAGTACACAAACATCATTCAACTCGAATTAAGGGTAGCGCGACGTCTTTTTCGACAACAACATTATTAGTTTTGTGTGAAATGCACCAACACTCGAACTTTGCTCGTTATCTACTGCAAGCACGTTTGTGTAATTTGATTCCCACTACTCATATTCCGAGCACTCTCGCTCATTTCTCGCGTGGAAAACTTTTACAGCATCCATAAAGTTGAATATTCGTTTGGCTGTTGAGATTATCCGTGCTTTCTCCTTGTATCAGTCTCAGTGAAAATGACCTATTTTATTAAAACATATTTCCGTCCAGCATTTTCCGTTTTCAAGATTTGATTGATTGTCTGCATTTTAGCAAATATTTATTCTGATAGCAACTTTGCTAACCCTCTACTGTTGTATCACAAGCAAGAAATTGGTTTCGTGAACTCAAAAAGCCTTCTTCAATTTCTGATTAGCGGTAGAAATAAACTAGAAAAGACTGCTTAAAATTTTTACCGAACTCCGCCACATTTGCGTCTCGTTGCCATAGTTCGGTTAGAGAGGACGAAATCCAGATTCAGAGGCATTCAGCTCAGCTCGTCGCAATCTTCTAATATATGAACTGCTTGTCTGGATATGGTACTTATAATACGGTAGATAGTTTTCGTAATAAACAATATTTGTATGAGCAGTCAGCACTCTGATTAGACCATCTGAGCAAAAATTCTATAAGGTGAAACTAGCTGTCTGTCGTATACTCACCGTACACAGACTAGCAATCTTACGCCGTTCAATATGAAGGTTGCACATTACTTATTATAAGAATTTTATTTTATTTGCTGAGTCACAGTAAATTTTGTCTGTGCATGCAAAGTAAATAAGTCATATTTTTTATCATCTTGAACTCTGACTTCTTGCTACTTGAAAGTCTCCTAAACGTGAACCATTTTTTTGCACCTCTCTCCTCGATTGTAACAGGCTACAGCCATTTTTACCTTAGATATCGCGGACTTCCATGTTTCCATCATGTTCTTCTTACCCTACAATTCCGTTCGTGTTTGACATCCGCTGTTTATGCATAGATTCAAAGCTATTTAGGCGTTCTAAATGGACGTCCGCTTTCGATACAAGGTTCCGGATGGTCTCCGTCCATTGTTAGAGGCTTTGGCCAGAGAAACACTACGATCGCAGCCGGATGATGTAATACGATTTGCACAACTATTCTTCGATGAGCTTCAACTACATAGAAAGAGTTAGTTTATTTGCTCAGCAGATATATGACATTAATACTACAAGAAGTGCTCCGTGTAACTGCACTATTTCTTACATGGCTTAACGGCATTGCGCAGCGGTCTCGAATTCGGATTTTCCCATTTTGGAACCATCTATGAATGCTGAATCCGTGACAAATTTTGGAAGCTTGGAAAATACCAACCACTTATTTTTAGCAGCTAAAGTGCGGAAGGGGTGTGTTTGTTGGTCAGCCATTTGGGGAGCTCCATTGGTTGATGCCAATCAACCAATCACCTCCAAGAAGGGCCGGGCGCAAAGCTTTCTGGGACATCACATTTCCTTGAGGGGATAGACAGACATCCCTAGTTCGCATATTTCTACGAATAGGCATTGCTTTCAAGCTCAGTCCAAGTGACCAAGGCGTTATTCAGTTGAAAGAGAAACTAATAAATTATTCTATAAATTTTATTTTTCGCCTTCATTTCACCACTGTCGCAGCGTGACGCTTCTACCAAACACTTCACTCCAAATTGGAGGTGTACCTGACCCATAAGAGAGTTCGGGTGCTATGCCGCCCTACAAAGCACCCCCACATAGTTGTTTACAGTGCAAGTAGCATTCTTAATGTCCAGGAAGTCGCTCTTCTGTCTGACTCGAACAAGGGGCACTTCATCTAGCTTTTTTTTTATTGTTTTCCTCATTATTATGTCTGGAGTTTCGAGGGAGTAGAAATGTTTTCGATTTTCCATTTTGGGCACCGCGCATGAAAAAAAATGCTTTAGCAACTAGTTTCGATTATGTCCTATTTCCGAAAGTCGATATTATTCACGTTTTACCTTTTTTTTGTAGTTGAGCATAGAAAACTTCAAGTGAGAAGTTTGTTTAGATGTAAACATTTGCTGAACTCGCGTCACCCTGCAACTAGCATTCAGGTTTATTTTATAATAGCTTGGAACATAAGAGTTGCATCGGAAATTCCGAGAAAATCACTCGAAAATGCATACATAAGATCGATTTGTATGACATTTTTTCTTTGTAATTTTATCCTGAACAATATCTTTGCACAAGTTTTTTTTCCTTGATATTTACAACTTTCTGCGGAAACATCCAAATGAGTCCACGATTTTATCCTAGTAGAGAAGGGTAGGACATGAAGTGAAGCCAATACCAAATATGAAATCATAAATCATTAAACCTTTTAGCATACTGTCGCAAAATCAAAAAAAACAAATGCGTTTGTCTTTATGCGCTTTTATCGCAATATGGCAACGGTTTTTGCTTCAGGCATTTCTGAATGCGCATGATTTCTTCATTCTAATTTATTGCATCAAACTTGTGTATTGAATCTGGAGAAATACCAAGGATTGCTAGATATCAGTATAAAACTTATGTTTCGAGCTAGGGATGCTAGCATTTCCTCTTAGAAAATAGGTGTCCATTTAGGCTTCCTAAGTAGTTGCTATCCTCACAGGAAATACCAGCAAATGTTGGGCACTTCAACTCTGTTTCGGTGAAAACTTCAGTGAAATTTTATTTCAGAATGCATGTTTCCGAGTTATAGCTGAAGAAAAATTCTGGGTTTATGGATTTGAAGCAAATTAATATCACATTCTCTCGAAAGAAAAAAAAGCCCAACAAGTTTTGACCTGTGAAAATGTTGTCTTAGACGTGGCAGTTGTACTTTGTCAAATAAAATTGTTCCTCAAACCACGTCATTTATAAAAGGCAAAAATCGCTCCAAGGGTTTAGCGTCATCGAAATATGTAAATAGCACAACGATTATGGAATCGCATCATCCTACTCAAATGCTGTATATGAGATGTGTTTCGATCTGTTGAGGGTTTCGCCCAAGCTTGCTAAACACTCTATTTGTGTGCCACTACAAAATGCTTCTCACGTTTTGAGGCTCAATATCTAGCAGTTATGTTCAGCTTTATAAGACAACATAAATCAAACCCTGCTTTATATGACCTCAGTGTACATAGTTCTTCTCTTTAGATAGTGTAAACAGCCTTATTGAAAATTTCGAAGTACTGAAGACTATCGAAGCTCTTATTTTGCAGCCTATGGAATAATATTAGAGTAATGTAGAGGCCATGCACCAAAATTTTGTAAACTCATTCCAGTCTTCATTTTAAATCGATTCTTTCTTTCCTCTGTGTTTTTAGAGCAGAAAATCATGCTTTTCTAGTGATACGTTTTCTAATGATGCGTAGAGCTGATAGAATTGTTGGTGCAAGCTGATTGAGAGAGACACCAAGAGAAACACGAATAAGCTGTATGGTCCTATTACCTCATTTTATTGTCGGTCCTGAGTTGGACCTATATATTCGGTTTTTCCATCTTGAAAGCTGACTTCCTAGAATGTGTAATGAAATAATTGGTTGGCTGATTGAAATTTCGGTCACTTTTGCTGCTCCTACAGAGACTTGAAACAAATTTTCCTCCAACGTCATGGAAAGAGCACTTCAATATTGACTGTCTAGTATAGTTTTCATCTGACAAGGGAACCGTGTCGAGTCGAAGTGGCCTTTCCAGATGAGACCCATACTGCTTTGAAGAGCATTAATCGGTGATTTCAAATCTGCTTTCCAAATCTGCCAAGCGCCTCTGGACGCCGAGTTGTGCTCGTTTTTCAGGTCAAAAAATTGAACGCAGAACTGAAGCAAAATCGCCCAAATTTGCTCAAATGGTCCAGTGTCAAGTATCAGAGCTGTTTATGCAATGGATACATTTTATCTAATATGCTAATACTTAACACTGCTTTATCTGATCGCTGGAAAGGTTGTAACAATCAATTTTACCTAAACTCTGCATTCATTTTTCGTTCCGAAGAACGGTCATAACTCGGCGTCCAGAGGCGCTTGGCAGATTTGGAAGGTAGATTTGGAATCACCGCTTAATACTCTTTAAGCAGTATGGGTCTCATTTGGAAAGGCCACTTCGACTCGACACGGTTCCTTTGTGAGTAGAATTTTTAGCAATTTTTACATTGCCAGCTGTGAAATTTGCTTTGAGCCAAAGAAATTCAAAATGACAAATCACAATCTTTACTGTTGTTTGCTTGCTAGATAGGGAAAACGTGTGTATCCAAATACCATATTACTCATCTCTTCATCCATCACAGCTCAAAAACGAAGCTTAAGAAGTCAAAGGACTGTCCCTGTAATACCAAGCCATTAGAGCATAACCGTCCTTTACTGATGATAAAAAAAGTCTGTATAGTTGATGTGGGTTAGTAGAAGCGCTAATCTAATTTTTGGGAACGTGAAACAAGATTATTTTTCAATCAACTCAATAATATCTATACCACTTATCATAAAAAACACAAATTAAATTGCAATTTAACTTTTCAAACATTTCAGTCATCTCTCATACGACCAGGTGCAAGGCATTTCAAACTAATATAGTTAGATTATCGAGATACGGAAGCTGCTGCTTGACAATTTAGTTATCCGCTTGCTTCGCTCTAGTCGGTCATTCTACCATCACCAAGCACCCACCTGTTCCTGACCAAACACTGCTCACTGGGGCGAAGTTTCAGAGTGCAATTTCACTTCGGTCCCATATCCATCGAAATCAGTATACTAAAGCAAGTATTAGGGTGATCTAAAAGTAATGGGACACCTTGTTTTCTGAGCATTTCTTGATGTTCTTTCTGATTGACTATAAACAATTAGCATTTGAAGGCGTTTGTACCAATTGACCTTCGCATATAATCTGACAGCACGTTGCAGCACCCCCACAATCCTTCGAGCGGCGCTTCGGTAAAGTCAGACAGACTTTTTTCATCCAAACTTGTGCTGCTGTACCACAAAGTCCCTTGGCATGTGATATATCATTCGAAAGGACTTTTCAAGCTCTTTCTCGATTGTTTGAATGAACAAAGATCTTATATCATTTGAGCAGTTTATTCCAGAAAGTCCGATGTTTTGCGCACTCTCAGGCTAAAATCATATTTTGGCCTGTTTTTTTCTTGAAAATAATTGAAGTCGAGGTAAATCGCATATGTAAGGATAGAACAAAAAGCATGTCGCACAGCAACTGTCAAAAGTGAGCTCACTTGAATACTTTAAGTGAAAGAATGAACGTCTCCTAATACTTTCTGTTTACAAAGCTTACGTGATTCGATGACTGTTACCTCACCCATTGCTTCCCATCGTTTGGTAACTTCATTTACAAGGGAAGGATACTTGGTGACCGTGGCCAATCACCATAAGTTGTCTATCAAAGAATGTATTTTGAAATGCTGGTTCGAAAACTGTCTTCCCTATCTGCAAAACAATAACCTGGATGTAGTTATGATTACTTTTCATAGAATGAGTTGCGCTATTGTGGAGGGTCAAAATCACCAGTAAAAAACTTTCTTTCTATTTCAACTGCTGAAGATGATTTAGATAGTTAAAAATACAAAAGTGCTCCGTCTAGGATTTCCTTCAATAGCATGATGCATCTTACGGATATTGTTAGTGCTGTGATGCTGCTCAAAGTTCAAAATTACTTACAGTAACGAGCTTTGATTTTGAGCGCATACAAAAATAACGCCATGTGACAGTACTCATCTATAGACCTCGATTAGAAGGTTTTGTACTAAAATCTGCCGAAACTTGGGCATCCAAGTAAGTTTACTGTTCGAAATAACTGCATTTATTTTCAAGGTGCCCCATAATATTTGAATCACCCCAGTATAGTATAGGCTCTATCAGCCAGCATCAGTCCCGCGCCAGTATGACGTGCGGTGACGCAGCGTCGCATGCGACGTGCCTTAACGCGTAGCAGAGTTCGCACGCGTCACACCGCACCGTCGCTTGCCGCAGACGCGACGTCGCCCGATGTTGGCTGGTACAGCCTATGTATATTGTGCTAATGCTCAGCTGTTAATTGTGCTACTTCTCAGAAGTTGTGCCTGAAAACCCACCTTATAAAGCATTATTTTAGCGACGGCCTTGTACATAACTCAAATAGTCCAAAGGATATGTGATGGAGCCATTTTGGGTCAGGATGGTGTATTAACAAGACCACCACGACTTGAACTAGATGTTATATATGCTAGCTGGCGGCATTATTCATTACTTACAGGTTTATATGGATTTTTTGTCGATGAGCTCACAATTCTAAAGTCTTGGGTTCCAAATGGCGCTAGAAGAAATGACACAGCAAAGGCATTCTATTTAACAATGAGTTCAAGCACAGCAGAGCATGTTTTGTGAAAATACGCTGCTTGCATTTCAATCATAATCTGGTTTCACTTTCAAAGTCGAAGAAATGAAAGAGAGCGCTTGAAAGTTTAGATATCCTATTTGATAACCTGGGCGTAAATTTGCAAATCTTTCGATACCTTCATTCAAATGGTGGATTACAAAATGCTCCTAAATTTTCTGTTGGGAAGTTTTCAAGGACTTGCATAAGTGCTCTTCGAATTCAAGAACGACAGCTCGTTAGAGGACGACGAAGGAGTACGGCTGACATACAGCATTTTTTAGAACATCACGGAGTTTTGGTATCTTGCAAACGTTTAAGTGAAGGAGAGTTAGGCTAGAAATTAAAATGCTGTCTTGACACTAACAAAGTGCCAGCAACTAGTCAAATGAAGTCGTTAAGTATCGTTAGCTCTTCATTTTTTTCTGACCATTTTAGGGCTCTGCTTTGCCAATGCTATTGCGATAATGTCTCGGGAAATCCCATGAGAACTACGAATATGTCCAAACGTAATCAGACTCTACCTGGAATCGAGTATTAACTGCTCAATATGCAAATTATTCAAGTCTCTACTTGCGCGTGAATTAATCCGTACTCACATATTCCATGTCCTCCGCCACTTCTTGCCTCTGAAAGCAGTAATCGTTGGTCCTACCCGTTAAAGGACACTCTTATGCTCAATAACGTCTTGAAGTTTCTTTTCGCCATCGATTTTGTCATTCTGAAACTGCAGAGTTGTCCTTTAACACATTGACGACTATGCAAATTTTGAGTTGTCGTTTGTGAGCAAGGCCTGCCACGGATCAGTTAACATTTTTCAAATATGATCACGCACATTGCCATTTGCAGTATACCTGCAGTAGATCTGTTGACAGAATAGGTGAAGGTTCTCTAGAACTAGCGCAAAAGGAAACTCCTGAAGTGAATTTGTTCCAAGATAGTCGTCATTTTAACAAATTCAAATTTTAAGCGTTGGTAAACGTGTTGAAAAGAGCCTTCAAGGGATGTAGTCGCTTTAGTCACATAAGAACTTGTATAAAAAACACTTAAATATAAAGTTACACATGCATATGTTTTACAGGTTTAGCACTACTATCTAGCACAGTATAGGCATCAGTGTTTGTTTTAGTCTTACTCTGCTGAAATAATACTGATTTTATTATCTATACTATTAGTAACAGGTTGACATTATGGAGTTACAGCCACACTATCTACAATTAGTACTCAATGGCGGACCGAGGAGGGGAAGGAACGGGGGGGGGGCACTCCTCCTTCTCCCTCCGTACATTTTTTAAACTTTTGTAGACGCAACTTTCACCAAAGCTGGCTATCAGAAGTTCGTCTTTTTGGGGTCGATCTATGTCATAATGCTGTAGGCTTAATTGTGAAAGTCACACGTTTTTGCCCCAAGCGAAATTCATTGACACTATAAGAGGCCAAAATCCCTAGAATACAGAGTCATAGCGAAAATGTTAAATAAAGATTCGGTTTCCAAAAATCTACAGATTCTATTCTAGAAACTATTCAGTAAATATAAGTATTGGTCTTTCCAAAGGCTATTTGCGCAAAAAAAATTGCGAACTTCTGAAAAATTGAGGGAACGGGAAAAAGAAAGAAAAGTTGAACAAGAGTGAAAAAACCATCTGTAAGTTTTTCCAATCATCTGGGCCCTGGCCAAAGTGGCTGATTCGAGCTTCGCATTCAGACAGAGACGAATCAAAACTGTTTTATATTTGAGCTCTTTCCTGATTGCTGTTTCAAGAAATTTGCGTCCGCTCAAATTTGATACAAAAACGAAAAAAATAGGAGCGGTATAACATTACGTGATGGTGGTAACTGCTCTTATTGTTAGATGGTCGCTATCTACATACATCTACAAACGATGTAAAAGCAACTCACATCTGTTAGCAAGTCTTGAATTTAGTTTTCACTTAGACCTATTTGCCAAAGTCCAAACACACAATCAGGTGGAATGCAATTATTTCTCGATCACTTAGGACCACAAACATTGCGCTCAACCCTTGGGATAAAGTGCTTGACAACGACAATTACACGATTACGCTCCAGGGCAAGGGCGCGTAGTAAGATTGAATCAGCAGACATCTCTGAATTTTTCAGCTTCTTTCATTTCACTGAATACATTTCTGCAAGCTAACGACTTCATTCTTTCCAGTTTCGATATTAGTTTGTTATTCCATGGGCAAGTTCCTAATTGCCATCCCTTCTCAAAATTTTTTTTCTTCTGCCTGAAGTTAGAGGGTTGTACTAGTAATTTGTTGCCATAGTTGCGTAGCAAAATGTCTGCACAGTTCTCAAATTGGAATTACACTTGCCCTAACTTGTATTCAGTGAAAGTACATGGACACTGAGTGGCGCGAACTGAGCTCGGATTAGAAGCGATAATCTTGCACAGAGCAATATTGAGTTTCCAGTGCAGCTGATTCACAGTCTTTGTGCCTCTTTTCTCTGGTAATACTTGCTTATATAATGTAACCATCAAAAATTGAGTATACAAATGTTTGTGCCGAGCTTGGCTTACTGTGGGCATGGACTTCTAAGTAAATGTAGAAGCATGAAAAACAATCCTCTACCGCACCTGATATGTTATCTGAAAAGTTGGTTTTTCTAGTCCAGAACCTTAGCCTTGGCGATTTTCTATCTATGAGTCGATTTTATATCTCTGACACTTTTTTCCTGAAATATTCCCAAAGCATTTTGATGATCCCAGATTCGATTTAGGATGAGGGTATAAAATGGATTATGTTGACATTATCGTGCTCCGAGTGCACCATAACTATTATATTTATGTAATTCTACCAAAACACCTTACTTTCTCCTTCGTGTTTCCCTTCACCTTCTCCTTCTATGTTGGTAGACATTTTCAAGCACTACCGCCCTTATGGCCAGTCCCTTGGTTTGACAGTTTCAAAAATGAGTGGAATCTTTAGCATGAAAAACACCAGGTGCGGTATGCAGTAATCTCCCGTTTTAAAAGCGGGCTATCATTTTCAATAGAAATCATACATCACAGATCGGGCGCCCAACCCGGCTGGACGATCATTTTCTATTGAAAATGATCGCCCGCTTTCAAAACGGAAGATTGATGCATACCGCCCCAGGAAGAAATCATTTCTGATTATTCTATTTCCTCTATGCTTCAGAGCTTGGTAGGGATAAAGAAATGAGTAGTGAAAAGATTTAAAAATTTGGAAATCAAAATGGCACCATCATGGCGCAAACTTTCCTCGCATGAAGCTGCTAACTCCGACTACGAAAAACGAGTTCAAACACATCTGCAATATTCTTTCCTATAAATATCAATGCTAATTGCTCAATCCTTGCAAAAGCCGCTGAGGAGCTAGTGTAAAAACGGATTCATGAAAAGACTAATTTTTCCGAGCTGAAAAGGAGACTAATTGTTAACGACTTAGTGAATATCGAAGGTCAATTGAATCCTAAAAGACTGCATACAAGTGGAATTTAGAACTACTTTTTTGCTCTATAATTTGCCGTTGCTCATGGGATCTCATTAGGGTAAATTCTGAAAGGTGTCTTCATTATCAGTGAATAAGTTGTGTTACCGTGCGCCGCAATCACTTACTTTCTTATTTCAGAGAATCCTAACACTGATATAATCGGCGATCCTGTGGCCTACGAAATGTTCCGCACCGATTTACAAAGGCGGGTAAGTAGATTCTGATCTTGCCACTATGGAGTATTTAATAAGATTTTGCAAACTGAAGAGAAGAAGGATCGAAGAGTAATTTTTTCTACATTACTATATGAGTTTGTTTTGTCACCGAAAATAGAACATGTAGAGAACCTCAGCAGAACTTTATCGCGGGATGCTTTTTAGTAGTCCTTTCACTCATTCTTAAAGGTACCGTCCACCCAAAATTTCGACCTCCATGCTTTTGCCGTTCCAGGGCCTTCTCATACCCCTGAATCCGAATATCAAGTCGGAAATCCGCGAAAATCACGAAAAACCCTTGTTGTAGAACCCGGCAGTAGCCCAAATTCAGCTATTAATTTGATATTTTGTTTTAGTACAGTGAAAGCGAGCACGAACCCCGATGTGCTAGTCCCTTAGACGAAGCCGCCACCAAGATTCAAGCGGCGTTCCGTGGACATGTTGTGAGTTTTGTTATCTTCTACTTTTCATTTGATGAGTAAAGCTTATTGCCCATCATATTGTGCTGGAGAATAATACCGCTCTTCGTTTGAAGAAAAAGAATTACGACAGATTTTTTCGTCACAACCCATGGACACTCGTCGCAGTGCTATAGCTTTTTGGAAGCGGTATATGAACGAAAACTATAGATTGCTGAGCTGTTGACAGTCATTTATTGAGTTTTATGATGATTCTTGTAGTGAGTGAGTCATGAAAATATGACCATACAAATTACGAGAGTAATATCAATACGGGATTTATTTATCAGTTTTGATGTCAGAATAGGATCATACGGAGTGGATATATTTTGCATAAGCAGAAAGGTTTTAACAGAAGTAGTGGCTGTTTCTTGAAATGTACTTCGAAGAGTGTAATATATCCTCGGCTTTACGATATTCTCAATGAACGAGCTTATCTATTAGCTTCGCTAACTCCTATATATCTTGCTGAGTGGAAAGAAAGCAATGTCGCATTTTGTACAACACCATACAAATTTAGTGATATTATGTGATAGAGCAAAGCAAGCTCTATAAGGTGGCTATTGAAGAATCGTAACTCGATACTCGTAAAAACTTGAAGCCAAAATGTCAAGTGTTTCAAGAGCTCAAAAAATCGGAGAGCTGCCCGAAAAGCCCTATGGACTCAATTTGGTCGAGCCTATACTTGACATTTATATCTTCATACAGTTCGTCTAATCTTTTCTGGCTGGGAAACAATCGAAACTTTGAAAATTTCGGCATAGTAATACCGGGCTGTTCCCACAAAATTTGAACTATTGATCTTTCAAAAATAACCGTAGGTTTCGGGCTTTTCACAGATCTTAATATTCAAGAATTACCAAGCTTAGTTTCCTATCGCAATTTTTTACGTTAAATTTTACATGGCTTGGGGTTTAATGCCTGTACAAACCTGAAAACTTACGGTCGTGCTTGCAAGTGTTATTAGTGTAGATTATCTGTGTGTGCAGGCCAACAGTGCCTTTGGCAAAAGCACGAGATTTCCTTTTTCGATTACTGGCCATTGAAAAAATACAGCGTATACATATGAATGGCTCAGGCAATAGGAAGTCCCTAGGGCCTTTTTGGGCGGATTTTCAAAATTTTTTGGCATCTGACCCTTAGATTCCGACTTCAGACTCGCGCGTATCTAGCCATCCTGTAATGCTTGCTTTGTTCTATCAAATAATATCCGGACTTTTTTTCTCGTTCAGACTGCTACAGTAGCACATAATATCACGAAATGCACCATTCTTATTTTTCCAAAGTAATATCTGCATTTGATGTAGATGTTCATCATTTACTTTTAGTTTTCCGTTTCCGAGATTTTTTGGTTATTTTGTGACAACTTTCCATAACTCATTCAAACTTCAAGCGTGGAATTGACGGCTTGTAAGATTATGACCACCAAAGAAATGTGTACGTAAAATGACCTACGCGCACTTTGAGTACATTGATTGTAATACTGCAACACTTATCGTCATATATGTCAGTCCTGCAATATTTTTACATGTTTACCCATTACACTGCAAAAGTTTACCTATCAGTTTATTCTTCCTTAGTCTTTTGTTTTGGTTGAGCATTGGTGATTCGTGATGTTGTACAAGCAGCCTCTTGTCGTTGTCTGGAACTTAAACGTCAAAGGGGGCGCTCAAAGGACATATATGGCGTTTTCTTCGTTCAAGTTACTATGAAGTCTCTCATTTTGTCTGATACACTTCGGAGTAAGAGAAGACAATTTCAGCAAAATTGATATGAATTAATGCCACACTCAGTCAAATGCCATAGTTTTCACTCGATTTTTTGAAGTTGCTTGCCTTATGTTTAACTGCTTGGTCTTCTAAAACTTGACCAGGGTTAAAAATTTTTTCCTGTTGTTTTCTTAAATGTGATTTATTTGGTTTGTCTTCAGCTATTTCGTTTTTTCCTTTCAAAAAAGCACCGAATTCTGCAGCACTGTCTGAGTGCTGAGGTGTTCAATACAATTCTGTAGCCCCAATTTTATTTCTATATTTACAAGAGCGCTGAATATCGCCATATTAATCTTGATGTTTATATCATTTTTGGGTATCCCATCGCATATCAGAAGATTACCTATTATTCTGAAAGATTTGCTTTACGAGGACCAATGAAAATAACCTATTACATACAGATGTTTTCATCTCTTTCTATGTGTTTTGAACTTCACCAAAGGCATAAATAAACAAAAAATGGGGTTCATGTAACGTTTAATCGCTAGATCCATCTAACAAAAGATATAGACAGTCTGATTTCATATTAGATCAGACTAGTACGTACCATAGCAGTTTTATTCTAGTACAAGAAAATTAAAGTGGAGTACAGTAATTAGTCAAAATAATAGAATGTGTGTTACGTGATCAGCAAGGGTAAGCTTATTCTATACGAGGCAAGCGATAGAACCTCTGTTATGATGAGGAATGCGAACAGTCAATGATTAATGCTATCAAATCGACTTACTGGTAAGCTAAACATTAACTTAAGGGCTGTCACTGTAGAATATAAGCATAACAAAATTCCCATAGCTGCAGTTAATGGATTTCGCGTTCTGCCATACGAAGCACGACGTTATCAGTATCGATTGCTGTGAAAGTTCTCTCGGAATGCTTCTCTGATTTTTTTTCAGCTCAGATCCTCTGCAAATTTAGTTTTCCGTATTGTTTTACTCAGTTTTCAAACAGTAATTTACACTATTAGGATAGCAGGAAGTTTTCTTACATTTGTACTAAAATTGCTCTTTCTCAGATCCAATGCATGTAAAACAAAGGTTGCAGTTTTACTTTCGCGTGTGTGCAGTACATATCAAGTGGGAGGAGTTTTATATCTGTAAGGGCGGAGTTTGTAAATTCTTAATCACCTTTTCTACTCATGCACGATTTCCAGACAGTGTGCCCATGTATTTTGACCATATTACAAGTACTGAAACATGTGGGACATAATAGCGCTTACGGAAGGTGGATCTGGGTTCGCCCAAAGCCTAATAATTTCGAGTTTGGTTTTATTCTACAAAGTCACCGATTATGATTGCACTTGGTACCAACTCCTATGGCTCGCTTTTTATCCAACAATGTGCTGCGTGCCCCACTTAGTACTCACATCGTAGCAAAAATTTTGGCAAAATTTAAGGTCCGAGGCCCTCTTCTTAATTAATATTGTGAAAGTCCACTAAGAAGTCAAGCTCATTGCCCTAAACATCCGTTACAGCAACCGTTTTCTAGCGGTCTTAGCAACTAACAATGGTAATTATGGTATTTGACTTTTGAGGTTTGCATTGCATTGTTCACTTGAATTCCTCAAATTTACCATGCTTAGTTTTAAGACGCACCCTTATGTTTGAAAAATTAATGGAATTGAATCAAAATCGAACCAACTTGCTTACTTCAAATTAATTGTCTTCGCGACTATCATTTTTTGTATTTATCGCTGCCCACTTAGCTATTTTTTGTTATATGCACTTCATGACAAAACAGCGTTTGCATCTAATTTCGTATTTTCAAAGCCTGGAAAGAATCTACAACTTTAGCAAAGACATCCATTTTACATAAACCTTTTAAAAATGCACAGGAAATTCATATAAACATCTGTTGGTTTCTCGCACGGCATGAAAATAGTCAATCATGGATGTGATTCATTTTCAATCCGTGGTGAATAACGCAGTGACGGAAAGAAGATGAAAATATTAAAGTGACAAGTGCTGTCAGCACGCTGTCTCTAATCGTTGCTGTGCTAAATCAAAATCTGGTGTTTGTTCACTTTTGCTAGTCTTCTCAAACTCTGTCTATCTGAATTATATGTGTGAGAAATTTAGATATTTATTGTGTTTGCTATTTGTCTGGCACCATATGCAAGTGGTCGGTCATCTATTGCTGATTTGATAAGCTGAATAATGTTGGCAAAACATTATGATTAAATTGTTTGTTATGATTAAATATTGCTGATTTGAAGGGAAAATTGGCAAACCTGTTTTTAAACTTTTGTAAACCCTTTAGACCATTGCATTGCAGTTTTTACTAAATTTGCGGTGTCGTTCTTTTGAATTGAGATTATAACGTCAAAGAAATCTCTTTCAAAATTTAGCTTATAGTCAATCAGTCGTCTTAGTTTCTGCCATCTGCATATCCGAATAGCTGTAATCAAAGCTGACAATTCATAAAAGCTTGGAAGAAATAGCGGCTCAATCAACATTTACCGGGCTTGAATATTGCTGACGATTGAAAGCTGCTGCATATACGAGTTTTTCACTCTGTTAGCAGAGCTAATCGATTTGCCAAACACAGTCATAGATCGCTTGACTGTCAGGTATCATAGTGATCCTTGTTGACAGTTGGTCTTTGTAATTCATATGCCGAACGAGGTTTTTGAATAATGGCTCTACCTAGTCTCGCAACCTCGTCAACTTCACTCCAACCATCTTAGGCGAACTGCGCGTATCTAAAGACTTTCATCATGAATTGGTTGCAACACATGTTTTGCACCTTATTATTCTGGAAATCCATGAACTTCTCCATTTCAAATGAGTTTGTTTGATTCGAAATGTGTTGGCGAGTGTAAGTTATACGCTCCTCTTACTTCCAATTCTCAATGCAAAAGTTATCATTTGCAAACAACAGTCATGCAACCTGATAAAGGGGAAAGCAGATTATTTTTTTTCGTTTTTGGAGATCAAAAGTGCTAAGAGTTTATGAGAACTTGCTGTCACTATTGACTTAAGAGAATTGTGCTGAATTGTGAAGTGACAGTCTCTATAAGAAGTTATGTAATTCTCAGTTTCTTCTCGATTTTAGAATTCGCCACAGCGAATTCTCTATTATGTATTAGGTGCTACATTCCTTATAAATCGTAATAAATTCTTTAATATTTTTTTCGTGCAACAATTTACTGTATAAAACGAACAGCTTTTTGAACATGAATTATGATTCCTGATGCAAGATTCACGGAACAAGACTTTGATTGTTACTATGCCTGAATTGTCCACTTACTTCTAAAGTTTTTTCCTTAGGTGCGCACCCATCCTGAGAAATTTGGGGTTGGCAAGGTAATGTCAAGAACCCAATCGCATGAGAAAATGCAGTCCCTGAACACCAAGAAGGACCTCAAGTAATTTTTTTTTTACATTATGCCTGCCAATGGTATACTTACACTTATATGCAGGCGTCATTCCGTTGGTGGATACTCCCTCGAAATGGATACACCAGAAGATAGGGCTGCGACGAAAATCCAAGCAGAAATTCGAGGTTTTCTAGCTAGAAAACATGTGGAAAAGATGAAGAAAGAAGATAATCAAGCCGCCACTAAAATCCAGGCTCATATCAGGTAAGAGTTAGGATTACTCGTGCTCTTTTGTTCACATTTTTAACTACATTTCATTTTTTAGGGGTTTCCTCACTAGAAAACATTTGGAAGACCAAGGTATCTTATCGCCGACACGTTCTCGAAGCTCACTTCATTCTCATGAATCTGATGAAAATCACAACTGATGATGTGCGTTTTCATTCAAGCTTTCTGCTTATTCAAATACTCACATGAAAAGGATGTTCCCATAAAATGTCCGTGCTGTTTGATCCTCAATAAATCTCTTGCATTAGTGTCTTTCACCGCTTTTAGGGTAGCATCGGGAGAGGGGGGGGGGCGCTGTAGTATTTTCGCGCATGCCCATCCCAATAAACAGCTTCCTTACGAGTTTTTTTGATCTTTCTAAATGGTGTAATCATGTTTTCGAAGACCATTAAAAAACTGTTGTTACGGTATACCTAGCACAACTTGCAGGCGAAGCATCATGGTAAAGTGCGAACCTCGTAATCGTGACCAACCACTCTGAGCAGTTAGTGTGAGAGTTTTTAGCTTACTTGGTTTTCCTTGAGTGAAATGTGGCTTTCAATGGTTCAAAACTCTCTCAAAGGTTCCATTCATAATCCTAATTATAATATTCGTATTCGAATATGCTATTTAAAATATTCGACTTTTCGACTAGTCGAATATTCGAGGAAGTGAAATTATTCTGTTGTTCGGATAATCAAATAAGTGAAAAAGACCTTTATTCGAATATTCGAGTATTCGAAGATTGAAAGACAGCGAATATCCGAATATTCGAATATTCGAATAACTGTCTTTGATGTTAATAATATTCGAATATTCATTCATTCACGCAGTTGGAAAAGTGGCTTATTCGATTATTCGAGTATTCGAAGAATGAAAGACAATTATCCGAATGTTCAAGAAATTTTGAAAAACGAATAAATTGTTCGAATATTCAAATATTCGAGTTAGAGAAGAGTACATATTTAAATAGTCGAGTGTTAAAATGTTTATCCACATGTTTCATATGCAAGCTTTCTTGCATATTCGAATACTGCTTTCGAGTTTTCGATTGTCCGGATATTCGATGATATCCAGTTATTCGATTATTCGAATAATCTAATATTCAATCAAGTTTAGCTATTCGCATATTCGAAAATTCGAATTTTGAAACGTGCCCAGATTGAATGTTCGAATTCGAATAATATGAAAAACTCGATCAATATTCGTTCGTTCGAAAAGTTTTCGAAAATCATATACTCGATTCATTCGTTCGAAAAACTTTCAAAATCAATTATTCGATATTCGTTCATTTGATGAAAATTTCCATTCGTCGCATCTAATCCTAGTTATGAAGGATCCGTGATTTGCTCCATACTGTGAATCTTATTGTAAGCTGAAGCCAGCTCTACAGAATGGTACTTTAGGAGCGAGAAAGGTATTCAGCGTTATCAAAGATCAAACAGCAGGGACTTTGAAACACCTTGTATACTCTTTTTGCACATCCATTCCAATATGACTGTTGAAATACAGCATCATAACTTATAATAACGAGCTAAGGGTTGTTTACGTTTGTCTGTGTGTGTGTGTGAATCTCTGTCTGTCACGAAATTCGTAGTGCGAGTTCCAGCCAACCTCCTGGGCTCAAATTTTGCACAGCGCATGCTATCCGCATGAAAGTCCAACATGAAGCATGAGCAGATTCGTTGAGTGGATCCCTCCGAAACTGCGCGTCAAAAGGGTCCACTTTGCGTTTGAGCCGCAAATTTGGGTCCGTAATTGCATATTTTACAGAGTCGCGGATGTTTGTGTCAAGTAAATATGCAAGTCATGAACTTGAGCCCAAAAAAGTAATCAAAAGTCCATTACTTTACAAAAACGGCGCTAAAAAGTATTGGTTGCGTAAATGGTCAATTTGCCAAGTTTCTACCAGAGCATTTGACGAGATTTTTGCACAAAGATATAGCTCACGATGACTGCTGTTCTTATTGCAACTTTCAGGACCATGGGAAAATCAAAAACCTATAAAAATTTATGTTTGTTCTCCTGCAAAAAGTTTCATCCACGCGAAATCACCGATTCCACGTAAAAAGCTTTCGGAATGAATAGTTGTTTACATTTTGTCCGTGATAGTCGGCATTGCTCGGTGAGTTCCAATGCCATCGTAATGCGAGAATGAGTAGGACCTAGATAGTAGAGCCAGTGCGAGCCTCTGCGTAGCAGAGGTGACGCACTGGTCATTGAATAAGTGTAATTTCAGATCTGGACATCGCTTAAAGAGAATCTGCACGTTCATTCTACGCTTAGTGAAGGTGACTCGAATTGAACATATTCTCATGCATCGAAATAATCGTATCATATATCATTATGCGTTTTTTATGTAACAAAGTTCTTTCCTTTATTATGTGCGAATTTGTAGAACGTAATGGAGTTCGCTATCGTTTGACATTTTTAGTTGATGATGTCAGATTCTGTAACATTCGGCAAAATAAGCTGTGATTTCATTTTTACGCTCCCAAAATTTTTTCTCTGTTCATCAGCTTCACAACTACATACCAGGGCGTATGTAGTAGCTGTAAAGCATGATCGCAGTAGTTTTGTTTGATTTGTGAGTGAATTGTACAAATGTTAATCTCAACTTGAATCGGAACATCAATCAAGCGAGAGCGTGAGGAAACTCTCTTATCTTATAAGCAGTTGAGGGTAATGCCATCAACAAGATTGGAATAACGAGAGTGTATGTATGGCTTCGAAAAAGGCTATTGAACTTACAGCAGATTCGAACAAATTCTGGAAGAGTAAGCAAAAAGAGTAGGAATGCATAAAAAATTCTGACAGTATGTGTCTCCCGACGTTATTAGAACGGCAACAAGGCGTGTACTGCTTTCACCCGTTCTCACCTCAGACCAAGCTTTGCGAGATTTTGATAAGGCTTGTGAAAACATCATTACGAATGCAGCAAACTTTTGGCGTAAAATATTTATGGGTTAGGAAAATCACGTGAACTGACAAAGTCTACTTCATCTGGGCCGTAATGTGGGAAAGCTATTAACACGTTGACGACAGTGCCGCGCAATGCTGCGCAGCAGGCAGTCTGTCCCTGTATCCCTGACTAATTATCAATACTATCTGTCCAATCCTTTCAGTTTTTGTTCATATAATCAACATAGGCTCAGATGTACTTCATGTATTAGTCCCGCCCCTTTTGGCAAACTTTGCCCACTAATATGCCCCTTACAAGGACCCTTTTTGTTGTTAAAAAGCATGGATGAGGCCGTAGATGAACGCAAAGGCCTCAAATAATAGCCAGGCTCCACCCACTGTCAGGCAAACTCCGCCCCCGTGGCAACCTCTGCCCATCATCAGAAGTGCCGGAATTCGCATAAACTCAAAATTTGGGCAATTTCCGACATTTTTGATCGAGTGGGTGGGGCTTGCGTATTTTATATTCCGTGCATGAATGCATGCATACATACATGCGGCCAGGCGTAGAGATGCACGGAAATTTCTCGTCCACAGAAACAGACCTCAAAAAAAAGGCTCGTCGTCAAGGTGTTAAGAGAAATGTACGCCCTTTATTCACTTGAGTCGTTTATAACCCTGCGCACTTTGCTCTTATTCGCCCTTACCTAAACATCGAATTTGGCGTCATATCGTCGCCTATACGCTGTAAATGTCAACCAGGGATACAGAAGTGATTTCAAACTTCGCGCTTTGCGCATCTTCGCAGCGTCTAGACAACCTACCTACCCCCCCCCCTTTACCTCATTCCCAGAGAATCACTGAGGATGACATTTCGCTTCAACGTAGCAACGTAAAGAAAACTGAATCAAAGCGTAGCTCTATCGGAACTTCTAAAGCGATTTTCTTGCTTCAGTAACGGTTGCTATGGCTTGTATCAAGGTGCTAGGGGGAGCTGCGGCTGTACTCCCTCCCCCCCCCCCCCCCATTTCACCTTCGTGCCGGCAGCTAGATGACCCCCTTCGTCAAGGCTAACGGCAAAATAAGACACCTACAGTAAACGATGCACATTTTGTTTGCGTAAGAAATGCCAGCTAATGCTTCTTCTCACATCACTCACTATACACTCCTTTCCAAAAAGCAGCATCGTAGCAACATCATTTGCTGAGAAAAGCGCATGCTTCATTTTTCTTCCCACTCAGAGTGGCGTTTTCATAGCACGATATATTCAAAAACAAGAGGATGTCTTATTCTTCGAAACAACATTGTATCAATGGATACACTTTGTCGCAGGAGAGAACTAAGCAAGAGTAGGAAGTAAGGTCGGACAATGATGGATGCATATTCACTGACAACGAAGTATATAATTTCTTTCATTTAAGAGAATGAAAAAATAAGGTCGCAGTTGAATTTCTTGCTTTTGAGTTCTTGGTTTACATCTAAAACTTTGAAAAAGACCTGCGGTTTTGAAAACGAAGCATAAAATAATTACACAAATTTAGCTGATAATGTTGTTAGATATAATTTTTCTTACCTCGCTTCTCAGAAAAGCTAGAAAAAAGATGTCTACGTTGTTTCCTTCGTGTATTATCAAATGGCAAACGACTATTGAATAAAATTCGAAAGCTGAGATTTTCGAATACTCAACTTTCGAAGAATATTCGAAAATGAAATTTTTGAATATTTGACTATCGAATATTATTCGAGATCTCGGATTCACGAATATTCAAATCTTCGAATATTCGCATTCGATTGATTGAATAATCATTCGATTCAGTCCAAGGTATAATAGCTTATCAGGAATGGCTACTAGGACTCCCGACCTAGTTTTTTGTTAGTCTGTTTTCTATCGTTTTTGAGAATTTGCGACTGGGATTAAGGTTTTCATCCTTTTTGAAGATGTTAGGCAAACTGGATTATGAAGGTTCGGGCATACATCACGCGATTTCATCGCCTCGAGATTCTCTCGGCAAGACGAAGGTTACGAGTCCATGACATGCCGATCATCTTGCACTGGTTGTGTTAGTTCGAGATTAGTCGCCTCGGACAACTATCTCAACCGAATGGCAAGATGATCGACGCGCAATGGACTTAAAACAGTTGTCTAGTCGAAGGAATCGCGAGGCGATGAAGTCAAAGAACGTATGCTATGCGCGCCCTTACGAAACATATCGCAAGAAACCTTACTTTGCTAATCAAAGAGCAAATTTGATTCAAACATATTAGGTTGATGCAAAAGTAATGGCCGATTTTCCAAGCCTTTTTTCAGGGCAACTTTTTCCCATCAATACTTCTTCTTTACAATAGATGTAGTATACTATCGCAAAGCTGTTTTCATGCTCTATCTAATGGTGCTTGAAACGGGCTTTCATCTTCATCTGTTATAAAGTTACTGAGCTTCAAACAACCGCATGCAAATGAATTTCATTGCATTCACTTTTCCGACCAGAATTCAAGCGCGTATCAATGAGATTTCTTCGAAAATTTAACTGTTGTATGTAACAGAGATTGTCTACATTATGCATACTTAGTTGTATTCTTTGAAGCTATCCAGACTGAGATATCGGTGCCTAAACATGGGTAGCTGTTGCGGTCATTTTATGACCCATAATTTTCTTCTGAGGAAGTCACTCGCCGAAGCTTTGCTCAATTCTGTAAGCGTAGGGCTAGGACGTTTATTAGCAGTTTTTGCAAAAACTTCCAGCTGTTCACTACGTAGAAAATCAGAAAATTCTATATTCCGGACTTTGAGGCACACTGAATATATGTTGAAAAAACTGAGAAATTTTAATTTTCAATTTTTTTCTTTTGCGCAAATTTTTTTGTCCGAATTCTTTTTATTGTATTTTCTACTACTGGCTTGCGGCTACAAGATAAGCCACTTACCATTTATACTAAGAAACTTTGAAGGAAGTTATGAAGTGTCAAAAACAAGATTCTAGCAGAAGAACCTTTTTTGTCTTTTAGTCCGTATTTCTCTTCCCGTTTATGGTATGAGTATAAATGAGTAAGCGCTGTATTGCGAAAGGTTTGCTGCTTCTGGAGGTCTTTACCGCCTTCAGAAATGTGGATGTTTTAGAAAGTTATAGCACGCCAAGGGAGAATTCGCAAATCGGCCATTACTTTCGCATCAACCTAATATCAAACAAAGCTTACGCTGGATCGAACAATTGAGTACTTTTATAACGACAAAACATCACCAGCCATCTAGATATACGGCACAGTAAAATGTTCTGAAAAGCAGAAGGATGCTAATCCCAGCAAAATAGTGGTAATCCGGATGCTACTCATAGGATGTGTAATGACAGCGTCGCGGCCCCAACGCCAAATGGATAATCCCACAAGGTTCGAGCTTGGGCCGCGGCCCTCGCTCAGACCTTGCGGCCGTAAACACTACAGCACAATTTTTGCAATGACAGTTTGCACTGGTACATGCATTTAGCCGTGCTCCACATTCTACGACCAGTCCTTGCGGTGATTCGAAAGTAACTTCGCTTTTTTCGGATATAATGACCCCGTTTTATGTTTGTGCAGTTTATTTTGTGAGCTATAAATACGCTCGAACCAAATGATCTTTTGATCACAAATTAGATCCACGCATTTCTTTGAACTAGTGGCGGCCGAAGTTTTGCAAAAGGTAGAGCAAAAATCAAACCGTGCACCTGCATGAAATATATCGAGTCCTAAACAGTCAACAAAGTCCTGCTGGAGTTCGACAAATTGAAGAGAATTACAGAACAAGGGTGAATTGTGACGAAGGAAGTAAATAAGTCCTATGACATATGTAGAATTTGTCTTGCTAGGTACCCATTATATTAGGTCGTTCCGAAAGTTCTTTCCATTTTTTCAACCTATCATAAAAACACGAGGAATGAAGTTAGGGAAACGCTTCAAGCACTATCCGACGCAGCTTTTCTTTCTCTTTTCATCTGTCATATTCCTGTGCCGCCTGCTCTTGTGATCAGTGAGATAATGTCTGAAATTTCGAACCTATGTTTTTCACGGTGTCCAACTTTTGCAATTTTTCACGATCTTCTTTTTTGACTTTTGAAAAAGCTTCAATAGCATTCAGATAGAGTAAACAAAGTGCAATCTAATTGAATTTTTTGGCAACTTTAACTGGCTTCCTAGTATTTTTTGAGATAATTTTTCCAAAAGTCTTCACTTTTTCGAAGTCACAAAAAGCAAAAACGCTCCGAACATTAACAAATCTTCGGATTTCGACACTTTCAAAAGTCGTTTATGATTGTCCACTATTTTTACAAAGTAACTCAGTGTTTACCGCTTCGAAAAATAAGATTTCGCTTTTCGCGTGTACACCCTTAGGCGGGTTCAAAATCAAGAATTATGGAAATTTTACCGTCAAAAACTCCCTCAAATTGGGAAGAAAAATACTCATTAGAAAGAGGAGGAAAAGCTGCATCGAATGACACCTTAGTTGTGCGCTGTTTTATGTTCTATGATTCCTGGCATCACCAAAAGTGGAATTTGATAGCATCAGAAAAATAATTCTGAAGAATTTTTAAGGTTAGGCATAGGCGCCGAAAAATTGCTTTAAATCGCACTTTGTTTGCTCTATCTGACTGCAATCAAAGCTTCTCCAAAAGTCAAAAAAGAAGATCGTGAAAAATTGTCAAAGTTGGATACCGCAAAAATCATGGGTTCGAAATTTCAGACATTATCTCATTGATCGCAAGAGCAAGCGCCACAGGAATATGACATTTGAAAAGAGGAAGAAAAGCTGCGTCGGATAGTGCCTGAAGCGTTTCCCTAACTTCATTCCTCGTGTTTTTATGATAGGTTGAAAAAACGGAAAGAACTCTCGGAACGACCTAATAGTTTGCTATATATTTGCTGCATAAGTTCTGTCCTATTTGAATTTTTTCGAGTACAAAATGTCATAACTTCTTTCAAAGTCAACTTTTTTCCAAGATCTTAGTTTCCGTGTGTTGAGCAATTCCTTGGCTATCAGACGTATTTTGAAACCTGCGAAAATCCTTGTTAATGAAGAAGCAAGAACTCGAAAACTTCACAGCGTTTTTTTTCAAACCAGTCTTTTTTGACATGGCAATGCTCCTTTAACACGTTCAGGCAGTCTGTCCCTGTGGACGATGTCGCGCAATGGTGCGCGACACCCTAAATACCAATTCGAATGTGCCCAATGGTTCCAATTTGTGTTCACAGAATCAGTTTAGGCTTGGATGTTTTTCATGTTGGCCCCGCCCCTCTTTTGGCAAACTCCGCCCACTCCGTTGCCCTGTACAAAAATTTTTTCGTTCTCAAATCGCATAGAGAAGCTCGTAGATGACTGGGAAACCTCAAATAACCTTGATTTTGACCCCGCCCCCATCATGCAGGCCCCGCCCCCTGAGTGGCAAGCTCCGCCCACTTTTCAAAATGTCGGAATTTGCACGAATTCATTGATTTCGAGCAATTTCCAGCATTTTTGAAAAGTGGGCGGGGCTTGCCAAAAGTGGGCGGAGCTTCCAGCCCACTTGCATTTTTGTACCTCACGCATAGATGCAAACACACATATATGCAGCCGGCTGTGATAATGCCCGGAAAGGTTCGTCCACAGGGACAGACGTCAAAAAAACAGCTCATCGTCAACGTGTTAAGAGAATCGGTAGGCATCTTAGCTAACAATGGATAGATAGAGAAATTGCCGTAGACTATTTTGCAACATAAAAGAGCCCATAGGGTCTGCGTTGCCGAGAGATTTTTTTGACCGAGCAAAAAAGAAGCCACTTGCTGACCTCGCTTTAGCGCAAGTGTGCATGCCTATTACGAATTATGAAAATTCTACAATTGATGTGAGCGCCGAAAAGGAATTGGTGGATGGGCCCTGCTAGCTCTTGCTTTACTCTAGCACCTCCAACTTTGAACTCATCGATTACTTCTATTCGCAGAAAGGTATTCCTTGTAAAACCTCTATACAGAATATTAATGTTCGACAATAAATTTTACTAGCAAGACGTTTTCTTCATGGAACTGAGCTTCTGCATATGCTAGCGTTCTACACCCTTATTCCTCAACCAGCGAAAGAAGTTGATTTGAAGGGCGCATTGTGGAGATTTCCCCGCAAGAACATATTTCTAGGGTGAGAGCGTACCTCGGCCACTTGGAGATTTTAGGCCTGAAATCTCCTTACACTGAGAAATTTATAGAAATCTGATATGCATTAGAAAGAGCAAGAAAAGCACTTTCCAATGATACTAACAATACCGAGATGAATTCCGTTCAGAACAGCTGCTTTAAGCACAAGGCAAAAAAAATCGGACAGACTTTGCAGCAGCCTAATACATCGCTTGCTATTGATAAAGAAGGTTTGTGGCTCACATCATAATTATATCACAAACTAGCTGGCTTACCCGGCTCCGCCGTATGTTCCGAATAGAAAATTCCATTTCTTAACCGATCCGGACCAAACTTGGCACACATACACTTCGGGCCCCGGCGGGTGTCACATTTTGCAAAAAATCGATAAAATCGACATCGATCGATAACGAAAAGTGGACTGTGACACCCGCCGGGGCCCGAAGTGTATGTGTGCCAAGTTTGGTCCGGATCGGTTAAGAAATGGAATTTTCTATTCGGAACATACGTACAGACAGACATACATACAGACAAACAGACATTCAGCTTTATATATAAGATTCATAAGTATTTGTATCAGATCTCTCTGTCGGCTACGATATGCTGACTGTAGTGCAACAGAACGTTCTAGCTGTTGGGCTTCCCTCCATGTTTGAGTATGTCAGTCCATTTAGGGTTTTCCTTGGTAAACACGATTCGTAAGAAGTGCTTACTAATCGTTGAGACCATTGTCATGCTGACAATGAATATAAACAACTGGAAAATTAATACACCCGAAACCTGTAATATCATGATTAAGAAAAGAGCGATGTCGCTTTCAATGCATCTTCATTCACATGCTTTCTTTGCAAAAGATGATTGAATAATCACGTTGAAATACCAAGCAAAAGCATTTATGCGCATGGTTAAGATTCAAGGTGTTTATCTTGGATAGTCAGTAGCACAATGTCATACTCTTACACAGGTGTTTTCTGATCAAGTGGTCGACGTAAAGTTTTTCCTAAAGAAATGGAGGATAACTTCAACCTTAACACACTTGATTCACCTGTTCGAGTGATTTGAACTCCTCTTTCATGTAGGGAGATTTCATCAGCAGCTCCATGCTGTCCTCTTTCATCGATGGGCACTTCACCTTTTGACAAACTCTCTCGAAGTAAGAGCTCATTTCTTTCTGAAAATTTTACGAGAATCAGTAACATTACTGTAGGAATGGTGCGACAACAGTTTGACCGAGTCGTCTCTTGAATATCATTACATCTTTGTTGAGGCATTCTCCCTGAAAGCACCTTGATAGATGCGCTGTTGCAATATACTACTCAACTGACCGCAGCGTGTGAGCTCAAAAAGAAATCCTGAATGACAATAATTTTTAGATACATTATTGCATTGAACTGGAGGGTGTGAGCGACTATGAATGTGACAATATCCTGAAAAGAACTGTTAGACCAAAATGCCCTTTTGACCAAGTCTTTGCTTATGTTGCAGATGGCGTACAACGTATCACTGATCGCTCTTCAGCTTGCTATATTTTTGGAGACTTTATTTCATGAATTTACCAAGACATTCATTGTCACTTTGGTCCTTATGCGAGCGCGGCCTCATTCCATTCGAGATGGACTGTGTCACCTGTATCTCTCTAAACGGTTAAGCAGGGAATTTTGTTATACGGATCAGGGTCAAGAGATTTGCTAGCTCAAACTAATCAATAAACATTTTTTCCCAATTGCTTTCAATATATATGTTCTAGTCTATCTCCAATAAGACGCTCATAAATCCTCACCTCTACGCTTGTGGTGCAAGAGCGAAAATAGCTGTTTCGCAGCTTGCTGGAGAATCAAAATCTCGAAAATCATTTACTAGCCACTAATAGATGTACGAAGACCCAGTTTTTGAAAAAATTACTCTAAGTCGTAAGTGGATGCAATTTGAATGGACGTACTCCCATTGGCGTACCGAGGGAGGAGGAGGGGGCAGGGGGTCGCGAAATTTTAGGAAGTTACTTACACGAGTTATAAAAAGGTGCAAGTGACTCGTTTATACTTGTAATTAATGAAATAATTTTTTGAAATTTTTTTAAAAATTCATTTTAGCCTTATAAAAAAAATTTTCGGGGCTGGCTTACGCATTAGCTCAAGTCAGCCCCATTTTCTCAAATTTCGAGGTTATGGAACCGCGAAAATTTTGAGAAGCATACCAAAAAAGTTTTCGAAATGCGTGGCTGACACCATGCACCTTCATCAGCAAAAATTTTAGTCCCTCCCCCCCCCCCCCCCTCCCCCTCCAGTCCAGAATCACCTCAATAGCAGTGCCTTTTGCTGACACTAGAGCGTCTCTCGCAACACTACGCAGATGTTCTCCACGGTAATACGCCCCTGATAGGAACGGAATCTTGCATGCAAGCCATTTGCCATCCGCACTTTTGTGCACATCTGGATCCGTCTCCAACTTCTCAAAAGCATCCTGAAATGTGGAAGTTAATCGAGTTCAAAGCATGCACTGGACATACGAAGAGAAATTTCAAGTTGTATTCCTTGTTTTCAAGACCATAGTATCTGTAAAGATTGACATGATAAAGAGAGTTCAGATGTGCGAAACTAGTCTCGTTTTTGGGGACTGCAGTAGCTGTAACTGCGAATTCTGATTTCGTGGCTATTGGCCGCAACCCAAATGTTGTTTTCGTAGAAGTTTCAGTTGTAGATCCGTGTCCCTGTGATGCACACTGTCGTATAACTGCATATGAAAAAGAAACAGATTTGAAATACGTAGATATCATTCCAATAGTCGGGGGGTGTTTCGAAGCGATCATTCCAGTAGTCGTGGGTTGTAGTTTCGAAGGGCGAGTCCTTTGCCCAGCAACATCCATGGGGAAGCTGAAACTCTACCAGAATAGTGAAGTATAAGATTGTTAAGAATCTTACCCCTTCTAATACGGCTATAGTTAGAATTGCGTTGCTAAAAGCACGGAGCATTTTCAATGAGAGTACTTAAGAGCACTCAAAAGACGGCGGCTTATATACTACAAATATGTTGCAGTCTTTTATTGCTCGAGATTTTGATTACAGAGAGCAAGCAAAACAAAATAATGCCGAAATGTCATCAGCCATAATTTCCGCGATGCTGGACGATATGACTAATGAAAGCTCGCTCGTTTCTTCAACATCTCGCACGGCCTTTGGTATCGTAAGCATTTCCTCCAGATTGCACCAACATTTCCAATTGCTTTTCTGCACAAGAATTCAATATATGTTAATGACAAAACTGCTAGGACTACTGTAACAGCTCAAGTTGTGCATCAGACTAGTCTTCAAAAAATTGGAGGGAAAAATTGGTAGATTGGCTACTGGCAATTTGAAAGCTCCAAAGGTGCTTTTGAAGAGTAGTGAACAGTAGCTGTAGTAAGCGATGCAATACTGCGAAAATTCTCTCAAAGTTCTTTCTTAGTTCAGTTGAAGACATCAAACTCAGCAGCACTTCTCTGGTTATGGGTAGGGGACTATATGTCGCCGAAAAAGGGCGGTCCCCGCGGTTATTTGCGACAAATACGCGCCCTTGTACATGCGCGGACATGCGTTCCTGCAGGGAACCCGCGCGGGACTCTTCCAAATTCGGCGACATATAGTCCTCCACTACTTTTGCAGCCGGAAGCCGCATTCGCGCCGGATGTCGCGTTTGCAGCCGAAGCGCACAGGGTCAGATTTGGTCCGTGAGGCGCGGTAAACGTGTTCGAACTAATGGTGTAAATGCAGTGTTCTTTATCCTTTGGCGCTGTTTGCATTTTGAAGGTTTTCTTGAATGTTCTAGTGATTTCCTCAATGTTTTAGTGAACAGCTATGTTGCGGTGTGATTTATTTAATCAGGCTTGCGTTTTCGCAATTCTACAATGCTGAAGTCGAAGCATTAGCAAAGAAAGTCTCCCTTGTGCTAAACGGAGCATTTTATATAATTTTCATTTATAGGCTACTCTTTTGTGCTAGTTGACCCTTATCTTCTTACATGTTACTGTCCAGATTGTGCTACATTCTTTGCGAAACGATGTTTTTCAATTCCGCTTTTGTTCTGAAGGTAATGCCCTGCTGGGGAGCGATATGGCTGCGAAGCGGGCTTTCTAGTATTTTTTGTAGGACTCGTCTACTGTGCCGGTTAGCTATGTTGCGCAACGATGACTCCTTACTCTTAATAATAGACAAGCCTCGATGCGAAAAAATATCAAAATGACTCCGCTTTCTGCAATTTCACTCCGGCCAGCATTTGAGGGGAATTCTCCTGCTACAGTTCAGCCCCTTGATCACCATATCTCGGAATCTGATATTAAATTCAGGCGTGGTCCGCAAATGATAGGCATTAAAAAGTACTGCTTTCTAGCGATTTTCTAAGTCAAATTCCTGTAATAACTTAGTTGTAATCAAACGACAGCGCTGATCTCCAAATGTCTGGAGTATTTTACCCAAGGTACAGTACGCATTGTCAGTGCCATGAATGCTAAATGTGCTCGCATTCCTTGTATGGATCGAATGCATTATCTTGAAGTTGAACAGCATGATGGCCATCGTAAATAAAACTGCCTGCAGTTCGTTGTCTCACAAGATGATTACTTTCACATGTTTCCGAGAGAGAAGAGAATAGAGATGAACCTCTTGAGTTGTACAGTGTAGGTTAAATGACTGCTACCAAGATGAAGAGGTTCAAATGAAATACAGGAAATTTCACAAATTCTATAAAGCTTTCAATGACTCTCTCGTACAGCTTTCGCGGTCCCTCAAACATCGTAATGTAGAGCCAGCATAAGCTTGGATTCATATAAAAAAGAATCACCAATCACTCCATTTTTGTAAGAAGTATAAGGACCTTTGAAGAGCGCTTTGAGCCATTGATAATCTATCTGCAAGCAAACCAAACCATCTAATAGCTGTTACAGTATGCTGATTGGAGTTGCTGACACTAAATACGAATTCCGCGCCTAATCGTAATGCTTCGTTGATAGTGACAAGTTTACTGTGAGATATGTCCCCACAAAGTTTTATAAATGCGATTACACTACTTAAGAAGCTTTGAAAATTCGTAACAGCTTAGAAAGTGAAGGATGGCATGCAAGTTCCGGTACACAACTTACCAGATAATCTGGAACTTTTGACGGAGTCTAATCCGCAGCGGTGTTGACGATTTAGTTAATCCTAGAATAACAAGAAGTAATATGTGTTTCGCTGAACATTGTAGATTTGGATTGAATAAAGCTACAGGGCGCTCTTGAAGGTCCGCAAACGCTTTGCATAGAAGTTTGTCCCTAAAAATCGAATGTTGGATACTTTTTCACTTCACATAACCGTTTCCCGGCTACAAAGCTAAAATTCATACATGCAAAACTCACGAGGGAAGTATACTTGGTGACCATGGCCTTTTGCAATGAAATGTGTACCATGCGTCTTGGAATACTGATTCTAAATCTATGTATGTTCTTTATCTGCTGTGCGACTCCCTGAACGAAGTTATGGACTTTTTTCCATATTGATTTTGCGAAATTTAGGCAGTCAAAATTGTCAGTATCCAGGTTTTTTAGACTCTGATGTATTGGTGGCAGTTTTCCTGAGTTTAACGTAAAGCTTTACTTTATCTGTACGCTCTTTTGTAGTGCGTAAGCGAACTTCTAATGAAATTGGTGAACCCTGCATCAAAACAGTGCAAATTTTGGTGACATGAAATGTTCATAACTTCTTTCGGAAGAGCGCACAGCAGATAATGAAAACAGATTTGGAATCAGCGCTTCAAGATACATTCAAGGGGCACGTTTCATTGGCCGCGGTCACCAAATATCCTTTCCTTGTTAGTCGCGATAGTTTCACCGTATGGCCATCAGGGGTGCACCTGCAGAAGTGAGGAACAAAAAGTGGTTGTCACATTTTGAGAGCGTACGTTTACATTTCTTGAGTGATGAAAGTGAAGCTTTCAAGCCCGCAACCAATATTTCTGTTTAGCAATATCTTTTTCTTACCTTTACACCAATTTGAAAGAATTCGTGGCCCATAATAAGCCACTTCATGAGTTCTATAAAGTTTGAAACACCATCAAAGGTGCGAGTTTGCCCTGCATTTACTCAAAACCCACTTGAAACATCTGAACTCACTTCCGAACTCGGGGCTGGTAGGCACTTTTGAGGAGTGCCATAAGTATAAGTTGTCTTTGACGATATTTAGTGACGCATAAATACAGTAGTAGTGTAGTTGTTGCTCACTCACCGTCGGCGAAAGTTGTGATGTCAGATACTGTATTCTAGAATTTTGCTGCGATGCCAATTAAAGACGCTTTATGTGTAGGGAAGTTCTACGAAATTACATGTCAGAAGTTTCAAGTTAGAAGTCCAGTTGCCTGCTCTTTTATGCTCTCTTAAAGCAAAAGGCATGTAGCGAGTTGGTAGCATTTTCATGGCCTAATGTAAGCGTGTCCGTTTAGGAATTTTCTTTGTACTTCTTGTTGTGTCTCCACATCCAACTTTGCTCATGTTTCTTCATACTTTCATTCGTATGTGAGTAATGTGAGTCTGTATATGAACCCTTGAATGGGCTGTCCTACCAAAATCATGCACCATGTTCGTGTGCATTCGTTACATCGGTTGATGAGATGGCCACTGAGTTTTACAACATTTCCATGAATGTGATGTAGTGAAATTTTGACATGGTGCGGATTTTGATGTGGGCTACAAATGTAGTCATCGTTTTGCAAATTTTGAATTTGCGTGTAGAGTTTTGGTAGGTGGAAGCTGAAGAGTTAGAAATTGCAGATTTGGCTTGGTCATATCTTTGTCTACATGTCTCTAACTCAAATGTTCAGGAAAGCAAGCAAACTAGTGGACTTCTAATTAATGTTCCAAGATCCAATCTCTTTATGACATTCTTAAATACAACTGCATTTCGGTACAAGCAGCAAAACTGAGTGTACTGAAAAATAGAGAATCTGGCTACCATAACTATCTGACCGGCGTTGACTGAGCATAGGCCGAGGGCATACCTCAAGCGATTTCAATCACTGCTCGATCTGGTACTGCAACGACCCTTTATCTAGTCGTAAACACGCTTTACTTGGGCGAAACTTTATGCTTTCGCAACAACTCACAGAAGCTACGTGCACTGAGACCCGCGCACGGTAAATTTGTAGACATCTGATCAAACACGAATAACAAAAAAAATTGGAAAACGTTTGCCACGCCTTCAGTACACATAACTCATAATTTTTCATACAAACTCCCAACTCCCTATCGCCCATCTACACACCAATTTTGGTATCATTTTATTTTCTCTCCGCTGTAAACAAGGCTTTTGTTCATTTCGGGGGCGGGTTTTTGAAGGCAGCGTCCACCCAAAATTCGTCTTTCATGTTTTTATACTTACCGGGCTTTTCCATGGTGCCTATTTCGGATACGAGGTTCAAATTACCAGAAAAACAAATTTGCTCCTCCTTTCTGAAGCCCTATTTTGGCAGATACGGACGAGTACCCCGGCACTAGTCACGTCGTATGCAACACGAAACCTCGTCGTGTGCAACAGTGCCACATCACAAACTATGCGTCTCGACGTTGCTTGCCATGTTAGAACACGTCACGGGGCAATCCGTCGGCGGAGCGCAAAGAGGATCCATCTGTTATAACCCGCTTGAAGCAACATTAGGGGGCCGGACCAATGCGGTTGATCTACTTTCAGGGCCTGCTAGTGGGACAAGTAGTAATTTGGGGTGAATAGACTTTGGAACGCTGCCTCTAAATTCGCGCGCTTAGCCAGCGAACCTCTTAAAAGGAGATTTTCGGTTTTTGCAGGAATGGGATCGATAAGGCAGGAATAACAATCTGCGTCCTCTATAGAAGATGAATGGTGACTTAAAAGGGAGAAAGTGATCGTGGGAGAGGGTGGGGGGGGGTGGCGGGGGCTGGGGTTTCCGTGAATGAAATCCCCCTTGCTTTTTACCCCGAAACGAAACCCAGCCTTACCACACAAGCGGCCTATGCCGAGCCTTAGACATCTGGCAAATCGCCAAGTCGCTCTGATGCGATTTGACGGAATCGCGGAAAATATGCCTTAGGCCATACAGCCATTCATGCAACACTGAATCCTTCCACTCTTCAAGTGTTCAGTGCGGCATGGTGTAGAAAGTAAAAACTGAAACGAATCATGTATGTTAGCATAATTAATGCATATAGGTATATACTACTTCAAGATTGCTTGACTTATTTAAGGAAATGCTATAAGTATTTGATCTCATTTTGTGAAGAGGTGCATTTTATTAGGGTGATCGGAGAGTAATGGGACACCGATTTCGCATGTTATCCTGGCAGCAACTTGCAGCTCATATCCTACAATCCTTCGCGCGTCGCTTTGAAGAAGTCAGACAGACTTTTTTTGAAGGCCATCCGAATTTGTAGTGCAGTACCTTGAAGTCCCTGGGCATATGACATGCCATTCAAAAGTGCTTTCCAAGCTCTTTCGATCATTTGAATCTGCAGAAATTCTCCATTTTTGTGTAAAAGAGGCAGATTATTTGTAAAAGTGCAATATTTGGTGCAGATTTTCAGGCTAGAAAACGTGTTTGGCCCACAATTTCTTTAAGGCGATGTTTCGAGGTAAATTGCGTGCATATGGATAGAGCGTACACAGCTCTGTTAGATGCCAAGTGACGAGCTTAAATTTTGAGTACTTATAAACACGACCTCATACGACAGTGCCTATCTATAGACCTCGATCAGAAGATTTTGTTATATACTAACATCTCCCAAAACTTGGACATCCAATTGATTTTTCTGTTTTTGAGAAAACTACATCTAATCTTTAGGTGTCTCAACTTTCCGATCACCCTAATATGTTCTTCAGCATTTTTTTATCTAGCAAGTAAAAAATGTATCCAGTCAACGTAGTTGTAGCCTGTTTTGCTATCTACGGATGTTTTTAAACAAAGCGCCAAAATTTTAATAAACGTTTGGAAGCTGTAGTGATGCCGTAGCCATGGAAACAGTCATCGTCAGCAGTTGGAGAAACGCGAATTGGATTCCCCTATTGCGAAGTCTGTCCTTCCATTTTCCAGCGCTTATAAAAACATCATTTCATCAGCTTAAACTCATACTCTATTTTATTTTTGCGCGAAGTGTAGAGTACGCTATATTACTGTACTGACTCGATTATTAACTACGGATGAATGTCGCATTCAATGTTTGAAAGAGGAAATGATATGAAACTCACAGTAGGCAGCATATCTGCCTTTCCCAGCAATCTGTCCATATGTTATTTGGAAACAAGAAATATCACATATGCTTGTGTTGTACAGAAAACTCAGGTGAGTCATTTTGATGATACAGAGAACTTTGGCTGTGAGGAGCGAAATGAATATTGAAATCATATGTATGTGCATGACTAGAGCAGTAAAACAATCAAAGCAGACAATTTAAATTGCCACATGGACAGTGATATACGATTAGCTAATGGTCTCATCGATAACAATGTTACATATTCTTTTTTTGCACAAACCAGCACTCAAAGATTAGACGTGTGCACACAATTGAAACATCTCATTCTAGGTGCATACGGTCAACTGGGACAGCAAAAACGAAAGCGTTAACTGGGACAGTATCAATATATCGGATACCAACACCGATAAACCTGTCAATGTGATACAGGTAAGTAGCAAACGCGAAGGTACCGTTCTATACCCTACTCTATACCGCGGAGCAGAAGACCGCTGCTTAAACGTTACAAGAGCACACTTGTATATTCGTCCTTATCCCAGTAAACACTTGATGAAAATTTTTAATCCGAACTGGAGTAGGCCGTTTGCGGTAGAGAACGTACCCAGCTCTCAGTGTAGCTTCTCTTGAACGATGCCGATCGGCCTTCTCTCTAACATTTGTCTATGGTGGTTACTGACAAGGGAAGGATACTTGGTGACCGTGGCCTTTTGCAATGAGATGTATACCAGTAGATGCGCCTTGAAACGTTGATTCCAAACCTATGTTCATTATTTGCTGTGCGACTCTGTGAACGAAATTATGGACTTTTTTCTATATTGATTTTACGAGATTTAGGCAGTCAGAATCGTTAGCATCCAGGCTTTTTAGACTCTGATTTATCAAAGACAGTTTTTCTGAGCTTAACGTGAAGCTTTACTTTATTTTGACGCTTTTTTGTAGTGCGTAAGCGAATATTCTAACTATATTGGTAAATCCTGCATTAAAAACAGGTCAAATTTTTGTGGCAAGAAATGTTCATAACTTCTTTTGGAAAACCGCACAGCAGATACCGAAAACAGATTTGGAATCAGCGCTTCAAGATGCATTTAATGGTATACGTTACATTTCAGAAGGTCACGGTCACCAAGTATCCTTCCCTTGTGAGATGAGGGCGACTACGCAATGACCTGGTATCGGTGCAGACATTTCATCCGCGCGCCACAGCTCCGCCATCGGCCAATCACGGCCAGTGGGTGCTGTCAAAATTCACAATAACTGTTATCAAAGTAGTTTCCCGTATTTTGCTTAAATTGGTCATTTTTTCTTAAATCAAGGATCCACGCGTGCACATGGGCAAGCTGAATGTCCTTTCTGAAGTCAAAGCAGAGATGTTGTACATGCTCTTCCGTACATATGTCGCCCGAAAGTAATTTCGCTATTTCTTTTTAAGCAACCGCCACATTTTGACGAAGTTCTGTAAAAAATCTTGGCAGCATTCGATACAGTTTTTCCTGCCCTTCAAGATTATCCATACATTGCAGTTCAACAGACGAGCTTTCAGAGAATTACCAATAACTGAGACCCATGATTTTTGCCATGGTCATGTTTCGCTATTTGTTCAAATGTACTGACTCTCCGAGAAGCTCAAGTGAAGGATAAATAAAGCAAACCCTATAGGATACAAGACAAGTTTTTTCTTTCCATAGCTTTCCACAATTTTCAATTTCATTTTTTGATGCTATCGAATTCCATATATAGTCAACTTAAACCTCATAGAACATCAGCCGGCGAGCACTTGGATGTTATCCGATGCAACAATTTCTCTTCTTACACAGGAATGTTTTTTGTATCTGATTCGTGAAGTCTTGGGATCAGGGCCCGGCCGGAGGTGGCATTTCAGAATTTTGAAAACGATATCCCCTTTGAACCCAAAATTTCTTACGACTTCTCCTTTGACCCTATTTTTGACCCCCGTAAGTCCCTGACAAACAGATATACACAAATAATAAGATGGGCGGCCTCAGCGCTTATTATAGTAGTACTACCTGGCTTTCCTGGTCCAGCCCGGGTCATCAAGGTTTCAGTTTAATGGGATCATCCGCAAAGGAATCTATAAAAAAAACATAGGGTCAAGATTTGCACAAACTTTGACGTTTATATATCTAAGATACTACTCATTTATTAGTCAGCTGCGAAACTTTAAAATTTACAACAACCGATTGCGATTGGAGCGCGCTTTTCGAGGCCAATCATAACGCTGTGAACCCTATGTGGGGCTGTATCGAAGCGGTGCCTTGGTGGTTTTGGAAGCGGATTTGAACATATAGTAATACTCTCGACCTAGTCCACATTTATGTAAAGAAATCCGGGAAATTATGTGAAGGGAAGCAGGGAGCCACCCCAGGTGGCTCCCAGGTGGCGCGGGAGCCACCTAATTTCGAAAAACACTTACCATTTTTTAAATTCACATAAGTTTCTCATAATTATTCATACTTTTTCTGTGCTCATGGTCCTCCAACTACACAGCAAATTTGGTGCCATATCATTACTTGTGCATTGAAAACGAGCCTATTTTGTTATTTTCCTCTTACAAGAACTGCGATTTGAATTCCCGCCTGCGGGCAGGCTAGCGACCGGAGCACAGAATCTTCACATTGCTGGAATCTAAGTTCATAGGATAGTAGCATCAACAAGGAATGATGAATAAAGAATGATATGTGCATTGTTTATCGGTAAACAAAGGAGAAGTCGTGTTTTGGGGTCCGGGGCTCTGCCTGCTTTTTCGGGCCAAAAACGATATCCAGCTTGTGAAAGCGCCACCCCCGCCGGGCCCTGCTTGGGATATTGAATCGTTTGAATTCGTGTTTCTGGAGACGCCTCAGGCTATACCAGGAAAATTCAAGGTATGATATTTTGGGTCCCTGAACGCTGATTTGTTTTATAAAATCAATGCTGATTCACAACCCACTTTTGTATCAAAGTGTGAGAATTTTTTGATGTTTGACGCGTCTGCGTCTGGTATATGTCTGCTAAAATTCGATATGTTTGTTAAACATTCTATCAAAAAATAATGGCGAGTTATGAGGAGGAGAACAAAATTGTTTTGTATCCTATAGGGCTTGCTTTATTATACGCCCAGACTTCCTTGAGGAATTAGTTCGAAAATTCTGAATATCAGCAAAACTTGATGGTAAAAACCATGGGTCGTTGTTACTGCCATTTTCTAAAAGCTCGTCTGTTGAACTTCAATATAAAGATAGTCAGTCGAAAGAGCATGAAAAACTGCATCGAATGCTACCAAAACCTTTGAAAAATCTTTGTTTCGCGAAATGTTGCGCTTGTTCAAAGAAGCGAAATTACTTTTGGGACGCCCTGATGAATACGCGCTCCAAGAAATTATTAGCAGTTTACAATCTGTCTCAACCGAGTTTAGGCTTTGAGTGTGCTCTACATGTGGCTGCGAGGTACTGACGAAAGAGTAGAAGAAAGTTATCCTAGAACAAACAAGTCGTAGGCTTTCCAAGCAAACCATAGACATGACCCCACCATGACGATGCGAGCGCGCATAATGCAATTTTGGCCTGATACGGATGAGATAGTGCACACGAACAATTGAAGACTAAGTCATCACTGCCACGACTTGAGACGATTGAGTGATATGACGAGAACTGGCTTGTTGTAGGCGTATAACGAATGAAAAGGTCTGAGTGCGTATGAGGAACTCAAGTTTGAAAATCCATAAATCAGGAATAAAGGTCGTAACAAAGTTCTACTATTTTCTGTTTATGTTTGACGGTGCCAGCTAGGGCGAATGGAATGGCACCAACGAAAGTTATGGTTTTCTTCCCTCCTCATGTGATTTCTAAGAATTTCAACATTAACCTATCTTTTTAGTTCAAGCCCTGTTAGTAATCATGCAGTCCTAAAATAGACACATCCTCTCCATTTCGCTATGACCTTGGCTATCTTTTCTCTGATTTCTCTATTTTTCCCACTTCCGTCCACACATTGGCCCGTAGTAAACCCCCCATCAAGGCATCTCTCTCGACGCGGACCGGGGGCGAGCTCATCGCGCATCAGTCCAGCATCCAGAGAGCTATTGATTTAGATGGGGATCGCTGTCTAGTCATGATAATCATGTGTGCTCTTGAAAAGGCAACCAATTGAGTTGGTTTGGTTGAACAGGTAAGCGATTGGAGTTGGAGGCGCGCGGCCATGGTTCGATACCGCCTAGCGGCACATTTTTGCTGTATCGCAGGGCATCTTTGATAGCGACCACTATCGGAAAATCGATGATGACCGCTATCAAGGATTTCGCCTAGAAAACGCATGGATGAAACAACAAAGCATTTTTTGACGAAACTTTCATGAAAAATTGAAGTAATTGCAACACGAATTTAATGGAATAAATCTACAAATTCTTGCCTTGAACAACTATTCAAATAAAAAAGTCGGCAAACTTTGGAAAAAAGAAACAACGGTTTTTTTGTTTTCCTCTCCAAAATCAGCTGTTCATTGATCCTCTCCTTTTCGGGCGCGGGTGTGCAGTTTTACGCCGATTTTTTCTGCATTTTTTGGCAAAGCTGTGTGTATCGTAAGTTACTCAGGAGCAACTTATGTTAGATGCAGCCAACTCTTGTCTGCGTCTCCTCTTCTACACACTATTTGGATCACTCTAACATCCGTTCACGTTGAGGTGACTTTAACGTGAACTGATGTGGAAGAGTTGACTACAGCAGGTGGACAGATCGTCAACTATCAGTTGACTTGACCATCTTATAGCATGGTAGGGTGCGCGGTCATCAGTTCACCTCACGTGCGGTGAACTGATGGGTTAAGTTGAGTTCACCTCAACTGATCGAGCTTTACTACGGGCCATTGTTTGCTGGAGATAGTATGAGAATGAAAACCATTTACAACTCAGTATCCAACCATCTAAGTCAACCGTATTAATGCACGAATATTGCCATGTCGAATAAGGAAGAATTGACATCTAAGGAGTGTTTTGAAATTTTTGAAATTCGTTGCACAGCGTTTCGACACCTATTTTAGGATCATATGCAAACGCCAGTTTGTGCATTTTTCATTTCTGTGAATTGAACAGCTCCGGGATTGCCCATGTGTCAAACAAATTTCCACTGGGAATTTTGAAAATGTTCTGCTCAGGCTGCCTTGGTTCTTCCTAGCGCTCGCACGCTGCCTTTATTAGTTGTTGGAACTACTTCTGGAGTACAGATCTTCGACATTAGAACGCAAAAGCTTCTCCAGCAAGAAAACATCGAGGTTGGAATAGAGGTGAGAACAAAGCACAGAAATTTTTTGAATGGGAAAACTTCCCTCTTTTCAAGTTGTTACTTCAGGAACCTGATGATTCCGCATTCTGGAATAGTTTTTGCAGAGGAATCACATGTAATAACAACACGATTTTGATAGGTATGAACTTTGAAAATTCTTCAAAATTTTAAATTAAAGGTTCAGGTACGTCATTTGGTCACATTATACAGTTTCTCTGTACTGGCGAGACATCCATCGCTGCCAAAAAATGTCTGAAGGTAAATTTTTTGCCGATATTCCACAAAGACGCAGTAATATTGATTTATTTCCAATTTGTTTCAAAATTCTTACAAATTTCAAAAAATGATTCAAAATTCTTTTTCCACCATTTTTTTAAAACATACTTCGTGGTCTGTCAGTCTGCAAATACAGACTCGTTTGAATGTCATCAAGTTTCTTACATTTACTGATCGTGGTTCGCAAATTCACTCTGTGCTTACTAGGCAGCCTTATTTAAAATCCTGTATAGAAGTTACAGTGTAGGCTTCAATATCTGTTCGTTTAGGAACATGCAGCAAGTATCGCAGACATCGCTACCTGCCGTTATGACGAAATTACATGTTCTGGTGATTGTTCAGGCACAATCATTGTATGGAGCAAAAATGTCAAAGGAGTGCAATTGAAAATAGCGACGCAGTGGGTTACGGCTTGATTTTTGAAAACAGCTAAATAACATTCTCAAAACTATTAAAGGCACCCAATCACTGCCATGAACGTTCTGCGCAAACAGGTGATTTTGGGCACAGTTCGAGGAAAAGTTCTGTTTTATGCAGTTGCTAATGGCGAGCTTATGGCCGAGGTACATCTTCGGTTTTTTTCTCTTTCCATTGTCTGCGGCTCGAAATCGAAAACATCTGTAGGTTTGCGCCCACGCAAGATCGGTGACATGCATCTCCGTCGCTCCTGAAAGTGCCTACGTGCTGACTGCTGCGGAAGATGGACGATTTATTGTATACAAATTACATACCAGAAAACCACAAGCATACCAGGTAATGAAACTTTTATCTCAATGGAATCATCAAGCTGAGTATGGCACTTGTAAATTTGAGATTGCCGTAGTACTGCCATGACATTTTGGTTAATTCGTAATTATGCTCCAAAGGCATTTTTGTTTTCTTTTTTACAAATGTGAAGAAACACGAGCCTCATTTGATAAAATGTACTTGTAGCTTTCCCAACTCTGTCTCGTAAAAAGATGATGACCGCAGCTTCGTTCGTGTTCCGTCCTCGCGATGGAACTAGCTCAAGTAGTTTATTCGCAATGATAAAGACCCATATTTTTGAAGAGATCACGCAACATCGTTTGAGCATTGTCAGAAAACAGGATGTTTCCATAATGACAAAATGTTGTTCCAAAGATATTTTTGAGTAAGGTGGTGGTTTTACAGGTCGAGTACCGATACTCTGATGAACTAGCAAACTGTGCCATTATGGGAGCTCAGTTCACGAACGGTCGAGGAAGTAACATTGCAGTGGCATGCTTCGATCGTAATGCCATCTATGGATACCGTATTGTGAAGAAAACAGCAGCCTGATGTTTTTTGATCATGTATTCTTTCTTATTCTACTTTAATTGATTCCTTGTGTATTCGACTTTGAAAAAGCTTTTCTTTTTGCCCTTTTGCCCTTGCGCTCAACTATGAGAACTTGCAGACTTTTTCAAAGCAAGTTCGTAGTTCGAAATGTTGATGAAAACAGGCGACGAAGACAGGCATGTGAGTATGAGAATCCACGCTAATTTTAGCATTTCAAACAGCTTACATGAGCAAAAATTTACTGTAGAGGTAATATTACAACTGCGTATCAACTCGACATTGCGTACGAAATCCAACAGCTGCAGATCATTACAATGGCCCAATCGTTGCCTGCTCGCGACGCGATTAAGCGAAGAAGCAAAGTTTGGAGAAGATTCACAAATGGACGTGGGATTGAGTGAGAGGAGCGATTACGCTTTGACTCCCCTGGCCGCTTTGGCTGGTGGAGCTGGCTTCTTGACTGGTTCTGGTGCTGGCTCTGGTTCGGGCTCGGCCTAGAAGAGAGAATTCACTGGAGTTCTTTCAACGAGATGTTTTTGGCAAACCTCAGGCTCCGGTTGTTCTTCAGCCCTGACAGGGGCAACTCCATCTACTGGTACTTCTTCAAAGTCCTTGTCAGGTATCTGCAGTGGAACTGGGGCGATCGGTGGACGGGCACCTTCGACCTTCACTTGTTCAACGTACTTTGGTGGCTCAAGACTTTTCCTGAAAGGGATGTGGGCTTTGAGTGAGCAATAACTCATCTGACTATGTATACCTAATCTGCTCCAGTTCCTCATTTGTCTTTCTTCCCCATTCGGGAGGAGGACGGGCGGTTCCATGAACAATGGTCGGGAGCTTCTTGACAGGCGGGGCCTCGAACAGTCCGCGGCGGTCTCCATATGACCTAAAGGTTTATGCTAAACGCTTTCTATCACATTTTAGTGATTCCCCTACCTTCTGTCGATCTGTCTGTCGAATTTAGAGGCGGTGGATATTTTTGGAGGTAGGAACGTCGACGCTACTTCCTCAGGTTCAAGTCCCTTCTTGAGCGCGTTGTTTCTTGCGACCTGGCGCTGTCGCTCATGAAGTTCTTTCATCTAAATTCATGTTATTATAATAGTAATTAGAGCTCAAATGAAACTAGAGAAATACTCACGTCGTACTCCTGGCGCTCAAGGCGCTTCTCGAGATCGTACTTGTCAGTTTCGAGCTTGGTGATGCGACCATGCAGCGTCTTTATTCTTTCTTTCAGATCATTTGGAAGCAGGCCAGAAATATCGACTTCACGGCATACAGCAGCCAAAAAGGCAGCCTTCGCCTCTTCTTTCTGTTCTTTTGATTGGGCGACTGGTTTGCTACCCTGAATAAAAATTTTGATTTGGTTTCACAAATGTTACTCTAAGGATGTGATCATCAGATTATGTAATTTGCAGAGTGTGCAGGTAAAAATGCTTACTTGAGCCAAGTTTCCAAACTTGTCAGCTTGATCTCCCTTGTTGACTTTGAAGTTGCGTCCTTCTCCTGGTCCGGCGGAGTGTCCGCCGGCGAAGGAACCAGCCATCATTTGCTGACGACGAGATTTCTCCTCGTTTTTGCGAGCCTTCTCAGCATCGGCCTTCATCTTGCGCTCTTCCTATGCAACCATACTTCATCACATTTTATGTTTTAGTGTTTTTACAAGATACCTCTTCCTTTCGACGGCGCTCCTCATCCTGTCTTCTCCTCTCATTAAACTCGGCCTCCTCGGCTTCTCTCTCGGCGCGTCTCCTTTCTTGCTTCTCTTTCAGCTCACGGAGTTCAGCTTCAATTTGCTCTTTCTCAAGCTGTCTTCTCTGCTCGTAGTTGAGGAGCTTAGCTGCCTCTTCTTCCTCGTGACGTTTCTTGGCTGCCTAAATTTCTTTATCATTTTAGCAAAATCAGTAAATGTAAATATGAAATCCACCATCATTGCGGCTTCAGCCTCAGTCATCTCTGCTGGTGGTTTCTCTCCCTGTGTTGGAGGAGCTCGAGCTTTTGGCCTGAACGGTTTGATTAAAGGACGATAAAGTTTTTTGGGCCAAGAAGAAAGTGCTTTTACGTGAACCGCTCCAAATCACAATATCTTACTTTTCTGGCTCAGGTTCAGCGTCACCCTGTCCAGTGGCCTCATCTGGTTCTTCGGCTCTGAAACCAAATGATTATTATGCTACACAAGTAAAACTCCAAAATGCTCTGTATGTATCCCTCACTTGCTCTCTTCTTCAGCAGCTTCTTCCTCTGGTGCTTCCTGTTCGTCTTCAAGCTCCTCCTCCTCTCCAGAACTGTAATGAAGAGCGAATTATGAGTTACTTCTATTGGCATTATACTTGAGCGACTTACAGTTGCTCCTCGTCGTCGGACATGATTGCTGAAAGAGATAGGCATGAAAGGTTACTACATCTCAGAACCATAGTAAAATCAGAATGTTAGCGCGAATTGAAGGGTATAAGATAAGGACTTGAGTCTTTGAGAAACTGAGATTGATGTGATTCTTCAAAACCCAAACGAGTGATTACACATTTACACTAGCATATCCAAATTATAGGCTTTTTAGTGAGAACCACTCGTCTAAAGACTGTGGTTAGTGCTTCTTTTTTCAAGTTCATATCTCGTAGAATGGTCCAAGCAAATATCGCTAGCTGCATTTCGAATGATGAAATCTGAGCAAGATCAATGACAGAGCAGAAAAATCAGAAGAGCCAAATGATCTGAACCGGAGAGCATCTGTTGTGTCGTGTATATGAGACGGAGCGAGTTGCGCTGCCGGGCGGAGCCCCCTCAAAATACCCCGCCGAGGAAAGCGTTGGCGGTACGGAGACGTTGTAATGCCGAGAGCTTCGCAATGGGAATAAGAATCGCAAAGCCCTCCACAGGATGTAACATCTATGGGATGTAGCTTCAAAGTGCAATAAATTGATATGTTCTGAAAATTTTCTCATAAAAGTAAGCCAAACCCGAAAAAACCGTTTAGACTGCTTATGTTGCAGATTCAATGGAAGTACGGTCAATGGTGCATGTTTCATAACGTTCTAATCCCTTCTAAAAAGTATGGAATGCGTGAGCCTTTTGTAGAGGGAACTTACCCAAGGTCCAAAACATATTTTGCCTATTTGCAACCTTTTCTTGTGAAAACCTTTCTTATTGAAATCTACAACCCATGATTATGATTGGTCCTAGTAAAACGTTGCGAATGAAACTTGAAAGGTGAAACTCGCATCAAGACGTGCTGTTAATCAACTTAGCAGTAATTTCTCCAGCTTCAGTAGTAGCAATCTGTAATTTACTGATTCCCGCAGCAAAATTCGACACTTCATTTTCAACTAAAAGAGGCCAAGAAGATCCTCAAATTTAAGTGTACGGGAAACTAGTGAGCGATGATCACAGTTTATTGAGTTTGATAGCTCATGTAGAACTCCTAGAGGAATACACATTATTGTGCTATCAAACTGTATACCCTTAAAAATTCCGGTCAGGGTTACTAGTTCATGGAGACTCACTAGTTCATTTTGGCTACTCGTAAATATTGAAATGGCGAAGGCTAATCAAAGTTTTAACTCTACGTAGGCTAAATGGCAATTACTACTTCCAAATAAGCTATAGCGGATAAGTTCTCGAAACAAACAAAACTGAAGCTGACAGAACTCAGCTGCTGTGCCCTCATTTGACCAATTGCTGACTGCACCATTTTCTTGTAATTGCACTGGCGGGCGATGAAGTGCGAGACTTTTTACTTAATATGAGTTTTCGTAGTTTTTGTTTGTGGTTTTTGCTGTTTTTTCAATCACCGATGGTGGTGATGGTCTACAGCTACCAGCTTGCTCCATTCTACATTTGAGTGGCGTTACAAAATCGACAGATGAAATGAGGACTGAGTGGGAGTGCACGTCCTCATATCCTGGTTGACATAGAAATCTTTATTCTGCTCTTGAGAAAAGTTTTTCAGCGAGAGTTTTGCTTCATGATGAGCTTGCCTGATCACCAAATCAAAACATTTGCGATAACGGCAGTATAGCTTGGCGATCGGCAGCGCGGGGGAGTGAAACGGCGATTCGCCTATTCTCAACGTATAGTCGTTTTCGCTCCAGTCTCAAAAACACACACAAAAAAAGACGTTAACCCATTGACGACGACGCCTAATTTTGCGCGGCGGCGCTGTGGGACGACGCGATTTTGCACAACACTTTCAGTGTGGGAGGTTTCGTGCTTATTTACGAAATGCACCATTGTTTTGTAAACAACTATTAACACTTTCTTGAACGACAGAGCCTATAGGTCCTAAGAATAGAAAAAATTGGAAAAGATATTCATACGTGGAAAAAATACTAGACCTGCAAATATGTAATACGACTTTGCGAGAGGTGTGGGCCACCGGGGGTCCACATCGTCCCTGGCAGCAAAAAGCGCGTAGGCCACCGGTGGTCCACATCGTCGTCAATGGGTTAAGAGAATGTTCCTCTTGAAAACCCTGAGTAGCAGCCAAATATGCTTGTCCGTGCCTACGCCATGGGCAGGCAGTAGGTTCTTTGTATGAAACAGAACTTCTGCACCAAAAACCCAGAACAATTCGTATACTCAGAAAACCGTTTGTGTAGATCATTTTTCCGAAATATATGATATATATTGTTTTTTTTATCATGTAGCAAGATTTTTTGAACAATATCAAACTCTGGAAAGAAATTCGGAACTTTCTTTTTTTGTACCGACTTCGATCAGCACGAATTTATTCCAGTTCAAATAACAGGTCATGAGAGTGAAAAAAAAACTGAAAAAAAGCTCGAAAATCAAAAATTGCTCTAGTCCTTTTTCAGTGATAAAGCCCTGACATGACAAGTGTGGTTCTTGCTACAAGCACTACTAGAGTACGCATATTCTACACATTCTGAACCACAAAATATACCAAAAATGTTCATGAAATTTAAAGGATCACGGTCTTCCATTTTGATACAGGTGGTGTTTCAAAGTAGGGGATATATACCAGCGACGGAGTTTCTGAGTTTCTTGGCACTGATTGACCTCCGGACATTCCCCCCCCCCGCCCGATTGAGTCTAAATCATCCTAAAAGATCAGAAGCCTTCAAAGAAAAAAATTGCCTAGTGCTCGAAGTATATTATCTCTTTAGAAAAAAAAAGATCCAAAAAGTCTAGGAAATTCGGAGCGATCCGCTGACAGTAACAGCTGTGCACATCAATAGTAAACAGGGCGTAGTAAATAACGCGTGGGCTTTCGAACGCGACATAGCGACGAAGTGCTAGAAGTATATGAAGAAATGCTTGAGATACCTGCAGAGTGGAAGTAATCACCAGTCTTCGCATTAATCGCTTGCGACTTGGACAACTGTTAGGGTAGGAACAACTTGAATTGGGGCCTTATTCGCAGCTGGTAAGACCTTACAAATATCAGCCCAAATGCTTGATCGAAAGCGATACACACAAACCTACAAAAACCTCATGAGTGAAAGCCAAGTCTGACCTTGGAACCTCTGAATTGTTGCTACTAGCGGGAATCATACAGAGTAATCTAAAGGTTTGAACGGTCAAAAAATGGTCCTTTTTAAAAACTCATCTGATTTTCCTAGCCCGTCAACAATATGAAAGCGGTTTCTATTATAAAAAGGCATTTTTGAACTATGGATAAGTCATGTGTCTCTATAAACTAAAACTACAACTCTTTATCATCTACAACCGAGACCCTATTGCGGGATGGGTGAAACAAATTTGGTGCTAGATCTCGCAGAACAGAAGATAGGGAGTCCTAGACTATGCCCTGAAGCGCTAGTAACGCGGAAGAGAATCTGATCTTAATTTAACACGTTTAATATTTTGAGTGTAGTGTGTATTTACTACTAATGTACTTCATATATATTTTATTTTAGTTGTACCGCCTACGCTCGATTTCTAGCCCCTCCTCTATCCATCTACGGACTTTAAAAAGCAGGCACCGAGCAAAAACCCCAACTTTCTCTTACTTAGGGTCGCCCATTGCGGTGAGTCGGAGAATCCACCTTGTAGAGCGCAAAAACGGCAAAAAACAGATTTTCCAGAGTCCTCTATACTAAATTTTCACGAGTGGGATAATTACCAACAAGTGGAGGAACGCTGAGTCGCTGGGACCTTATAACTCTAAATGAGGCGACATGAGTTCGCTGACGCTGAGTAGGCAAACCACAAAGGTGGGCGAGAACCTCACTAGGGCGTAAGAATCTTGACCGCGGAGCAACTGACTCGCTTCTGCGCTAACATTATTTCGCTCTGGCGATATGGAGTGGCCAGTTCGTCCAATTCCACAAGAGAATGAGATCCTATAGTCCCCGTCCTTGCTCGGCATTACCTTAAAGGCAGCGTCCAGGCAAATCTGGACCTATGGAGATTTTACGTGGAAAGTAATTTTACGGCCCTAACTAAGGCACGGCCCAAGCGGCAGCGTAAGATTTCCAATCCTTCAAATCTGGAACGCACTGTTGACTTCCCAAATTTTCTCAATTATGTGGACCTCCACTAGCAGCCGCCTGAACAACACTTGATTTGCGTTTTTGATGACTACAGTTGCAGCGGTGGAATTTGTCCAAAACTGCGGGATTGTCGGGGTTCGCGGGATTGTCGGGATTCGCGGGATTCGCGGGATTCGCGACTTCGCGGGATTTGCGGGATTCGCGGGATTTGCGGGACTTGCGGGATTTAGCTATAACTTCTTTTAAATCCGCTTTATTTGCAATCTGCGTGTAGATTTGGCTTCAGCTTGATGAGACGAATCGTTTGATATACAGTATGTCCGTAATTTGTGGTGAGGCGGTAGGCTTACAATGATACCTTGTTGTTCTCTATGTTAAGGCTTTTATGAACATTTATCACAGCGTAAATCACGAATAGCAGGTTCTGGTACGAAGTTTTCATTATCGAAAACTATCGCGAAAAATTGGGCAGTTTTTATTTACCCTTATCACTGATATAAGCATTTTATCATTTATCACTGATAATATCACATTTTTGGATCATTTTTTGCATATGGTAAGGAAAGTACTGTAGGAAAAGCTGTGTGAATTTCTATCGCTCTTTCTCTCATTATAAGTGATCTACAGGCTTTTCTAGTTCTATTGCTCGGTGCAATTGGTAGATCCCTCGCTGCAGCAATCGATCGATTTTTCATCGGCACATGCTATTGCTGCCAATTCTTACCTAGAATGGCATTTTTGCTTCAACTCGCTTCACGCCGAAACCTGGGCTGAAATTCTGCACCTATATGAAAGATGAACGTGGAAATCGACCGCATGAATTTAAGCCATTCTTATCTATCGTTGTCATTGATATCATCATTTTATCATTTATCACTGACGACACAAAATTGGATCATTTTTGATAAACAATAAGTAATGTACTTTAGAAAACGCTGTGTGAGTTTTTATCGCTCTATCTCTTATAGTACAAA